ATAATAGAATTAGAGATACAGAGGGTGACAACATTGCAAGCAACATTTGTAATTACAAACCAATATGTTCTCTATCATCTTAAATATAAGATAAGATGAAGATCAAACTAAAAATATTTATCCAAATGCAAGTGCATAAAATCCTTGTTTAGTCATATAGAAATTTTACTGACAAAACATATCAAAAGTCGTTGCAGTATGAAAAAACGTAATATTTGTATTCCAGATCAAGCTTGTGAATATCAATCCATCAGATATCGTAGATGGCAAACATACAATTGTGCTGGGACTCATTTGGTCCATTATCCTGTACTTCCAGGTATGTGAAATAATAGTTTCTTATCATATATTATTATTAGTTAATTCAAAGTGTGCTTTAAAATTGATAAAAAGTTAGTTTGACAAAGAGTGAAACCAGGAAGAAATGAAGTGAACAGGCATGAACCAGACATTCTAAAATATAGAAATGCAATCAATGAGAGAAAAAGAATTTCTGGAGATGCGTTTTGGACAAGGTGCATTGTCTTTAATTGTAAGTCTCATAAATTGCATAGAAGTTTTAGAAAACATACAAAAGGAACCTTAAAATATGTCATAAATGGGCTCCAAAGATCAATGAAATTGACTTGGCTGGAGCAGTATGGGATAGAATTTGGCTTTATACTGCAAAAAATGTTAAGATCTTGTTCATTTTTATATTATGAACATCTAATTCTTTTGTGCTGTATTTATATTTTTCATTTTTTAATTTATGTTGTATAACCTTGGACAAGTATCATTCTTGAACCTTTGTTCTTAGCATTTTTTTAATGTCTTCTCTAATGTTTTTTGTTTTCTGTTGAATTCATAAAAATCTTATTAGTATTTAATCACAGATTTCTCAAATCTAATTCTCTTACTATATACTTTTGTAGATTGAAATCCAGCGTGAACTATTTATGTCTCTATTGGGTTCCGCACACAGTAGCGTCAGTTCTAGCTACGCTGGTAGCGACAGATCCTCTATCACATCTGAGGTCCATTTATGCATCTGTTTCCACCCATCTGTTTCCACAAATCTATTTCCACGCATCTTGCTTAGAATTTTTCTCTTGATTTTCACATCTCAGTTTCTATGATTATTTTATGAGATAATATTATCTTCTGACAGTTCAAGATTTAAAACATATTACATTTAGTTTTGATTTGTTTCTTTTCCACATTGAATACTTTTGAGACAGTCAAACAAATTTTTTTTTTCATCTTTGTTTTTATTATATCTGGTAGTGAAATGTGAAAATCATGAGTTTGGCATGCTTTTTCCATATTTTCATAACCCAAAATAATTGGTTTTATCCACAATAGAAAATATAATTTCAGTAGCCCATCAAGTAGTGTCCATATATCCATTTATACATGTACTTTGAAAACCCCAAGTTTTGCATGGTTGTGGTTTCTGTGTGCTTCCATCATGCCATCTTTTAAGCATTCAATATTATATGGAAATATGCATTCCATTTTTGTTTAGGGGACATTGTCATCAGTTTCCATATTTAGACCAGATAAAACCCTTTGCAGTTACTGACTGCATTAACATTATGTGTGTTTTCTCCTCACATGCTTTATATAGTGTGGCCACCACCAGGGGACAGCACTGTTTCTGCGCAAGCTGCACGCCCAACTTACATTAGATTAAGCAAAGATGGGTTCAATCTTCTGCTGAATTCTGTTAATGGCTCAGCCTTGTGAATATTGAAAGATATTGAAGATTTCTTCTGATAAGGCACAACATAGAATTTTTTTCCTGTATTTTGAGAATGTGTAAAAGATGTCATTCATACTTTCTATGGCATGTTTTTGACTGTAGAAGTTATGGGTCAAGTGAATGGGAATCTCTACCCTTGTGTGACGCTAACGCTTTTGGTTTTGGTGTTTTGTTTGTAACTTTTTTTCTGTCAGTTTTACAGACTTTTCTGAATAATTGTAACATGTACAATGTTTAATTGTTATTTAACACTATAATTTTTCTTTTCTTTAAATTCTTTGTTGAAGTCTATTCATAGTTTTGGTTTTAAAACAACTCTATTTTTTGAAATATTTCTTTCAAACGGACTATAATGTTATTCATAATGAGATTTTACATTGTCTAATTTGATTTTTTAGATTGAAGAAAATGCTCATCATATTGCCAAAGAGGCAGAAACACCAAAAGATGCTGTTGATGGTGCCACCCCTCCAAAGAAAAAGATGTCCGCTCTTGAAAAATTTAAAGGTGGTGCCAAGAAAGCATTGCTGGTGTGGACGCAGAAACGCATTAGCGAGTAAGTTTGTGTACTGCACCTTTATACGTAATATGCTGACTCAATGCTCCAATTAAAAACATTACTATTACTGTTGTACCAAGTTTCTCTTTACAACAGACTTACTGATTTATATTTTGCACAAATACTGTCTTTAAAATTTGTTTGCCAGACTTGACGAGATGGTATATTAAAGGCACTGTTGACTGTTCATCCAATTTAGTACATGGTACGTGTAGTTCTTAATCTTTGCTTTTAATCGATTACATATTTTCCAGAAAAATTGGCATCGAGATTAAGAACTTTGGGCAGAGTTGGCGTGATGGTATGGCATTCAATGCTGTGGTGCACTCTATAATGCCAGATGTTATTGATATGGAGAGTCTCATACACAAGACCAACCTTAAGAGATTGGAGGAGGCATTTGATGCAGCAGAGACGCATCTAGGAATACATAGACTCCTGGATCCTGAGGGTGAGGGGGAATTTTTCAATTTTAGATTAGAATTATTGTTGAACCATCTCACTATATGTTTTTCGAAATAGAACACATAAAATAATATTTTCTCTTATATCTGCTTCATATTTTGAAATTCCTATTTCAGATGTTGATGTTGACAAACCAGATGAGAAGTCAATCATGACATATGTTGCACAGTTTTTGAAAAAATATCCCGACTCTGAGAGTGCACCTGCACCCAAGGTGAGACAGAGCCCTCTATAGATGAATTTTAATACTATTTCAAAACTCTTTGATCATAATTTTCTTAATAGATTTAGCTACTTTTACAAATTTTGATAATAAATCTTTCTTAGATAGTGTTTTAGAAATTAAATGTTACATTTCTTGCATTTTTCTTAATTAACGATGTTGTTTGTAATGTTTCCTTGCTGCATCTCAGGACATGTTTGAATTAGATGAGGTTTGTTATTTTTAACATATAAACTTTTAAAACTGTTCAAATGGCATATGAAGTTTAGGCCAGTACAATGTTAATTGGCTGTTTAGTAGGGAACTCTGCTAAAAAGCACAAAGGGCAATGTTTAATATTCTAAAAACTGTGCCCTATTAACAAAAACATATTAAATGGACATAAATGGAAAACATTGAATGATCGAGGGACTGGACACTAAATAGACAATTAAATTGTATTGGCCTTGTACATTCTTTCTATGTCTCTGATTGTTGTCTGTCATACACTGTTATTCTTGTATCAAGTCTGCTGCCCCCCCCCCCTTCCCTAGAATACAATTCTCCAATCCGGAGCTGGGGAATGAAGTAAGCCTGGTTGGGCCAGTGTGCAGGAGAATAACTGATCTGTTGGAAAATGAGTGGTGCATTTTACAATGGACTAGTTAGTGCATTGATGAATCAGTCTTGTTGAACGTTTTATGATGCATAAGACAGGGACTTGATATAAGCATCATAGCACCAAGTACACTTTATGTACATGTAGAAGGAGCAAAGAATGTGAAAACTGATGTGATTAGAGCAGAAAATGTGCTGACTTACTTTATGTATTTTTCTCAGTCATGTTATTTCTCTCACCTTTTTTTCTGCTCCATTCTCATTGGTTGAAATAGAATGTTGTCATGCTTCATGTAGACCCCATGCTAGAATGAATAATTTGTATCATCCCAGTTTTGTGTACTTTTTATTGATATTTATTTTATTCCATTCATTTTAGGGAGAAGATGATGAGGTTAATATCTTTATACTTTACCTTTGATAAGATTGTTATGCCTCATAGATAAAGAGTTTTGCTTGATAAGATATGTGCTTGATGGATTACCAATGCCTTGTATCCTATATTACCAATGCCTTGTGTCCTATATTACCAATGCTTTGTGTCCTTTATTACCAATGCCTTGATGGCTTGTGTCCGACATTAGCAATGCCATGTGTCCTATATTACCAATACCATGTTTCCTATGCCTTGTGTCCTATATTACCAATGCCATGTTTCCTATGCCTTGTGTCCTACATTTCCAATGCTTTGTGTCCTATATTACCAATGCCTTCTGCCTATGCCTTGTGTCCTATATTACCAATGCCTTGTGTCTTGTATTACCAATGCCTTGTGTCCTATGCCTTGAATCCTATGCCTTGTGTCCTATATTACCAATGCCTTGTGTTCTATGCCATGTATCTATATTACCAATACCATGTTTCCTATGCCTTGTGTCCTATATTACCAATGCCTTGTGTCTTGTATTACCAATGCCTTGTGTCCTATGCCTTGAATCCTATGCCTTGTGTCCTATATTACCAATGCCTTCTGCCCTATATTACCAATGCCTTGTGTCTTGTATTACCAATGCCTTGTGTCCTATGCCTTGAATCCTATGCCTTGTGTCCTATATTACCAATGCCCTGTGTCCTTTATTAACAATGCTTTCTGTCCTTATATTACCAATGCCTTGTGTTCTATTATATGGAATGCCCCATGTCTCAGATTGATTCATAGTCAACTTTTGGGGCTGGTATTCAAATATAGTTGTCGTGTTGTCATTGTAGTTATTCAATTCATTGCATGCAATGAATTCGCATATTCCTCCTTATGGTTTGTTCCTAACTACCCTTTCAATTTTATCCATTATAATTTATATTTCCTCCCCATTTTTATTTATTTATAGTTTTATTTTATTTTCACAAAAATCAATAATTAATACAATGTCATTTGGCTGGGCTCAAAGAGCATTATTAGCCAAGTATTTTCCTCCCCAATCCATCAATGGACCTTCTGGTTGAACCATTTTACTTGAATAAGGTACGCTGTGCTTTGCTCCACCATCCTACTTACTATCTGAAACAAGCCAATAATGTGATTTACTTCTGGATCACTACCATTAAGGTGGGACCTACCCAAATCTTGATTTCACAATGCCAAACTAGGTCCTACCTTAAGGCTTAGTCAACCCCTTTACCATACCTTCGTTTGCTTGCATTTTGTCATCAAAAATTAATTAAAATTGTGCTAAAGCTTTTTACTGTTCCATGTATCCATCTTGAATAGAATAAAATGCTTCTTGCAATGGAGACAATATATAGAATATTGGTGCATCATTCTCATTTCATTTGCAGAATTATGTAACATGCTTTCCTCAGCTTTTCAGGCCTATTAGATGAATGGACATTTTTATTGTTATCCATTAACTAGAAATTGACCATATTGCATCAAAGAAATTCAAATATTATGATGACCAAGTAAATATTACGCAGTGTTATGTGTACATAATTCATCAATATTAGCTGTAGAATTGGCTGCTTATGTCATTAATCAATCAGCTATTAGATTCTGTACATTCAGAACAATCAAAAAGCAGGAAACCTTAGGAAATGCTGTATTATTCACTGTGTATGTCAAAGTTTAAAATCAAAGAGTTCATTCTGCTGAATTTTGTGCAGGAGTCAAAACTTCAGCTTTGGTGATCATACATCTTATTTTGTAAAGAACAAATCATTTGCATATTGCATAATCAATCTTGAAATCAAGAAATTAAAAAGTATATTTACTTTCCATAATTTATTGAAAAATATATTTACATTAAATGATTTTCTTTCAGTTGCTGGCACAGGTTGACCAGGCCAGACTAGTAGCTCAACAAGAGAAGAAAGAATATGGAGACCTGGTAGCTTGGTTGGAGAGTGTGAGTGTTAAGCTAGAGATAGTGGACCAGCCTGTACAGGACAGACATAGGGAATATGGGGTAAGCAACATACGCAAATCAAACAGCTAGTTGTTGTTTCATGCAGTTAAAATATGTTCACACCACTATTTTTCAAGTTACTCTCAAGTAGCTGTCTCTGATTTTAAGCAGTTATTTTATGTATAAATAGGCTATTCCTGGTTTTAAAGTAGCTATTCCTTGTTTCAAGTAACTATTTCTTGTTTCAAGCAGCTATTTCTGATTTCAAGCAGCTATTTTTGGTGTCAAATAGATTTTATGGTTTCAAGCAGCTATTTCTGTTTTCAGGAAAATGAATTTGGTTTTAAGAAGCTATTTTTGAACTACCTTTGAATTGAATCTCTCTAAAAAATCCCTTTGACTCATGTGTTTGGGAATTTGGATTCCTTGCAAGTCTGTTTACGTGTTTTTCAAGGTCATTCTCTCACCTGTTTTTGCACAATACATAATTGACATTGCTAGCAAATGCTTAAACTATAAAAAGCGCATTTTAAGTCTAAGAATTTCAATTTTTAATTGATTAATTCAAAAACAAGAATATGGATTTTGAAATAATAAAAAGCAAATACAATTTTCAATCCACTACTACTGTACTTACCTTTTATATTTGCATTGAGCTCATGAGAGAAATAAAGTGGCGAATAGAAATCATGGTATTCATTCAACGAAATCTAAAGCTATTGATTTTTCGTGAGCTTTACAATTAAAGTTATTCAAAATTGGAACCCTTAAGAAAACATAAAAAGTTTATCCTTTGTTTAAGAACAAGAAGGGGCATGTGCTGAGATATAGAACCTTAATAGGGTGTAAATATGATATGTAAAGTTCCAGTTGAATTCTGAGATTTTGTTCAGGTCACTTTACCTGCCACTGGGGGTGAATAACATTGGTGAAAATGGCGCAATTTGAACAAACTCAGGAACAGTTGTTTATTGGACAAATATTTTGGAGGAAGCTTCATCATTGATGGTTATTAATAGTATAGATTAGTAGATTACATGTGTTCAGGTCATCTCATTTGCTAATATGCTGATGTATGTATAAGCTGAGGGAACTGTTTATAAGATACTGCAACTTGTTTTTATGCTAGCATAAACTTGGAGATGCATAAAATAGTACCATCTCGTGAATAATAAAACAAGAAACACAAGTACAAAAACAGAAGCAAAGCAGAGGATTAATAAAATGCTTAAATACTGGATTGCAAACATACACAGATTCTAGGTACTTAATTGGAAAAAGTTAAAAAACAACAGAATGTTTCAAATGCCAGTATTCACATGACCTTTTAAGCCATCACCATGGCAACAGGTGGAAAGGATAAGATGAAAAACAACAATAATGACAATGATTTAAAATATGAAAACCATGTCGGAAGTAAAACTAGATTTGTTAGATCCCACGATCAAAAGGAAGCATTGGATGTAAGGCCTAGTCTTAATATGGATAGACCCACAGATCAAGAGCAAAGGGGAGCCATAGATAAGAAGGTCACTTTAAAGATGGACAGATCCATAAATAAACGGGAGAAGAGCATGGAAAGGAGATCTAGTTTTACAATGGACAGTTCATTAGGCCAAGGGGTAAAGAGAAGAGGTAGTGTTGAAATTGTAGCAAGGAGAGGAAGTAGACAAATGTTGGATAGAAAAGATAGCATAATAGAGACATCTGATGATATTGTTTTTGAACCAGATTCTGATCAGGTACATGCCATAAAAATGAAATAATCAAATTAGATTGAATTCATTATAATTTGTTGATTTCATTTAACTTTCATTTTTTACTTCATTGATCCAGAAAATGTGTTGCGGTTGTACAAATACTAGAGTTGAGCTCTGAATACAGATATAGATATGTACTAATTTAGTAATTACATTTCTCATCCCCACAGTACTGTTTACATTATACCATTTTACAGTATATGTACTTATATATTTTAATCAATATCCGTACCTGAGCTATATAAACCAGCAGACAATATGTCATATATAGGATAAGTAGGTCTAAGTGTTAATACATATATTGAATGTATTGTGACTGGAATGGTGGCAAGTGAAAAATGGCTTATAAGGATATGCTTATAGTGATGGTTTCATTTGTTAAAGGTATGTTTGCTTTATTCAGAAAACATGTACAGAGGGAATATTTGGGTGACAAAGAAAACAAGCCAAGACCACATTATTAACCCTGATCAAGGGCTACACTACAAGCTGTTTAACTTAGCTATTCCCAAAAAATCAAGAATTATTTTACAATCCATATAGCATAGAAAATGTCAAAATGCCCATCAATTCATTGATCGATCTGTTGAAGGAGAAAATCTGAAGAGTTATGATAAGGAGATAACCTAACTGAGGAGCTTCTCCTTAAGGAGGCAATAGGATAAATATTACTTCTTTACATTTTGTGGTATCAAATGATCTTACAAGGACAAACAGACAACCAGCCAATTAAACAAACAAACAAACAGACAAACAAACAAACAAACAAACAAGCAAACAACCTAACAAACATTGTTCATGCCTCAAAGTTGTTAAACCAAGTGCATCTTAACATTGTGAAGTTTCAGTCTTTTATTCCACCAGACCATGCTGTATTGATAACAGCAGGTAATATCTCATTAACAACCTGTGTGATACCTGTTGAAGGTGATGTTCCTGATTAGTGTTTTACCTGTAATTATGTTCTTCATTAGTACTTTTTCCTGTAACATTCTATAGCAGATACCTGATGTTAACATTACCTTGTCAGGTGTTTATGGAAGTTTTCTCACAGCGTTCAGTCAATTATATAGATCTTTATTTGTTTTGATCTTATTTAGTTTATAGCACATTCATTTTGTGTTCTCATTTTGAGGCTTGTGTCAATTCATGGAAATTCTATTCAGTGAAATAAACATATTTATAACAATATAATATGTATAACAATTGTTGTTGACCAAATTAAATACAGGGAGGGATAGGAAAAATTGGGTGAGGTCGTATCAATATTTGGCTATTAGAAACTAATTATTGACAAATCATGTTTGTATATGTCCTTGGTGATGAGATAAGATAAGGTAAAACGTTAACAGTATGGTTCAGTCTCCTATATTTGTAATTTATGACTTTTTTGAAGTACATGTACATACTGTACATTTGATAAATTAGTACAGTTACTGAAGTACAGTTGCTATTTGGCATACCTTATAAGGAAGTTGAAGATGTTATTACTCCACTTTTATGTAATATAAGGCACATACATGTCTTCGTCAGAATTGTTTACATATCTGATTTTCTAAAACATATAATTTACTGTTTGAAATTAATAATGTTAATGTTTGATTATCTTCTTTTTAATTATCAATGAAATATTGGTCATTATATTGTATTTTGAAGTGTTATAAGATTTATTATACCATAGGTCAAAGTTTTAAGCATTGGTCAGATAAACATATTAACACTTTTAGTGAAGTTGTGTTTTTTGAAAGTGAAAATATAAAGGAAGGTGAAATTTTTCTCTTATTACAATTTTTTCAAACATGCCATATTATTTGATGAATGGAAAAGATATAGTAGGCTACTATTCTAAGTACACCTGTTTGATTGGATATTGAATGATCCGAGCGATCATATCGTATTATAAGCGATCAATTATATTAACCTTCCTGTAAAGAAAATGTCAAGCTGTAATATTTGAAATGAGAAATGAAGTGAAAAAGAGTGGAATTAGCAAGAAATAAATGATTGGATCTTGTACTTGGTACTAAATATTATATAGAAATGCTGGAAAATTAGATGTTCAATTCAAATTTTAGAAAGAAATCGAATACAATAAGAATGACCTAAGGGTAATTTTAAGGTTTGGTTTAACTGGGCTTCATTTATTTATTTTCAGGATTACCTTCTTCACGAAAATGACCTGAAAAGCAAACGTGAGGTCTATGAGAGACTACAAATGAGAAAAGAGTCCAATGTGTCATTAACGATGAGCGAAGAAAATTGGATATTTTTACAACAAAAATGGAGTTATGTAACGAAAAGGACTCGAAAATGGCGGTGGAAGCTAGATAGTAGTTTACCGGGAAAATTAGGATATATCGGACAGTGGATGAAAGATGCAGATGATCTACTGGAGCAGGAAGCCCTTGTATCCACGGCAACAGAGGGTGGTGAAAAAGAGGCTACAGATGTGAGAAAGAGGCTCGAAGAACATGAGGTAAGTCAACAATGACGCCTGTGATGCATGATGCATTGCTGTTTAAAGTGGATCTTCAGCCTAGTTTTCCAGAGTTTTTTGATATGTTCTTCTTAATTTTTCACAGAAACTACTCTGTTTTATAGTAATATGAGAGAGAATATGATTTCATGTACCCAAAAAATAATATATGTTTTTTAATAATTGAGATAATTTCTGTTGCCCCTTTTTAACTATGGAGAAGTGTACAATACATATAGTGACAAATTGTAAGAATGCATCTTTAAAGGGTTCCACTTCTGCATATTTCTCTTCCGTTGAAGACTTAAAACCATTTGACTTTTTAGCTACAATTGGTCCCTTTAACATCCAAATTGCTCCAGACGACTAATGAAGTTTTCCAAAAAAATATTAATATTTTGATCACTGGGGAAGTTCTAGAAGTGAATGAAAATATTTTGGCCTTGGGTGTTATTAAAAGCAAAATATTTTGAAACTGGTGCACTGCATTTCAGAGGTTTCAATTTCAAATGTACTTAAAAATATCCTCTTCTCATAATATTCAAACGTTTTGGCGGGCGATGTCTTGATTTTACAAATTTGGTTATCGGGTTATTATATTGATAGTGTATACAAATACATAAAGCATTCAAAATTCACTATTTGGACCCTCTGCAAAGAAAAATAAAGAAATAAAAGCACTTTCTGAGATATTTTCACAAGTGCTTATAATCTAAGTATCAAATATTTCAATGAATGAAATCGTAGAATATGGATTTACTTGAGAGCAATATATTGAGCATTATTTGAGGGTAATTTAGGGAGTTTAATACAAAGATTGTTGAAGTTATTAAAGTCTTAAGGATTCAAAGCTTGTATGTAAAATAAGCAAGATGTAAAAACATTGCCAAGTGTGGCTAGATTAGATTGTCCTTGAGATGGCAGTATTACATGATACAATGTCATAGTACAATACATATTACAATACATATTACAATAAGAGATATTGATTTAGTAGTACTCAAGTTTATAATCCAATAAAAATGCCACGCTTTTTTATATAATGTAATTTTCATTTAAATTAAATATATTTCAGAATAAGTTCATTTCTGAATTAAATATTCGGGTCATTTGATATCTTGAGTTTGGAATAAGGTTAAAAAGTACTTTAATATTTTACACTCAGTGGATAATTTTTATGTAATGTATGAAATAGACTCCATCAAATGTCATAATCAAAATATAAATAGAACAAATAAGATAATTCTTTTGAAATTGAATTGAGAAACATAATAAACATTTTGTAAAAGTTTAACAGAGATAGTTAATTAGTTGTTAAAAATGAAAACACTTCTTTTTACTCGTCGACTAATATTTTATAGGTCTTAAGTAAATATATACATGTATGAACTTTTCAGTCACCCTGTACCTTCTTAATTATATACAAATTAAATAACAATCTATGTTTTCTTTCCAGCACCACTTCCAGAATTTAGACAAACTCAGTCAAGATTTAACTCGGATAAAATTCGATGGAAAATGTGACGGTCAAATGGTGCCCCAACCACAACTTGTCGAAATGTCCGACAGAATGGACGTCATAAGAACAAACTCTACCTCATCTCATAAAAAACTGTCATACACAAACTTAAAATTCAGACTCTTACAGTTCTTAGTTGTATCGGAGCAGAAATTGAAACAATGGACGATGAAATATTCTCGCCAATCAGATGTAGAGCTGCTATTAGAAGATTATATTGATTATGTACATGCAAAGCAATTGTTTAAGGAGTTTGATTCAGTGCATCAACAGATAGGAGCAGTGGCTAAAGCATATCAGGGCCAACCTGGACAAGGTGTGTACAATTACTTATTATAATATTTCAGACCAGTCTGTATTCTGTGTTACATGTGGCAACCCTGTACACAGAATATACTTGGTGTTTCATGAACCAATGTTACCATTGTCCCTACCTATAATTGAACCTGCATCATATATAAGCACCATTTGCAAAGCATTAACGTTGATACAGTAGTAAGCAAATATATGATATTTGATATGGTATAATGTAATTTATTCTTTCATTTAATAAAAAAGTAATCCTCTGTCAATTATTCTGAGGAAGAAGAGATTTGAATTTTGAAGTTAACATTTTGCCCTTCAGATGCAGCAGAAATAGAAAAAGTGAACACATTCCTATCAGAGGTGAACAGTCGCTGGAAGAAGGTGTCCGTAGAGATACGTAGCGTCCAAACCATGCTTGAAGAGGTGGTTCAGTACTGGACAAGGTACACTGCATGCGTTGATATTCTCAATGTATGGATGGTTGATGCGGAGAAAATGTTAGACATGCCACAGGCAGAGAAAAGTGTAAGTGTACTTAGGAATTATAGCACCCATAGTCACAAGTGATATGATGTTTGATTCTCAACTTGAACAAAAATACTTCCTCCTTAGATGATTGCAAATTCATATTTATGGCATGTTAGGAAGTTAGCACTTGGCTTTTGCCATTTTCTGCTAGTTTGATTTGGTAAACATCACAAAAATTTGCTTTTCAGGAATTCTTCCAAGACATTGCCAAATGGCAGGAGAAGCACGCCATTTTGAATGAAGCTGGAAACTTCCTGATAGAAGTGTGTGAGGAGACGGTTGCTGGGGAGATTAAACAACAGTTACTGCTTATTAACAGGAGGTGGAAAGATCTGTTTGATCAGGTAGGAAATATGAACATGTAATGATCATAGGATCACATAAAATGACCTCATAATCATTTAAAATTATATCATATTACATAATGATCTCTTAATAGAGTGTTCTATAAATAGGGAACAAATATTATGATTATCAAGTAAAGACACTAGACTTTTCAATATTTTTTTTGATAGAGTGTCCATTAAGTGTTTTTACAATACAAAGTCTGTGTAAAGTATACAGAGACCATGGACACCCTGTATATTGATATATATTATGTCAATCAGTTGTATTGCAACAAGCCCAAGATGGTATATTGGTGTAGGGACTTAACGCAAGACTAATCAATAGTGTAAAACTTGCTCTAACCTACATTTGTAATAACTAAATGTTTTTTCTCCCTCAGATACGAGTCTACCAGGAACAGGAGGCATCCCAGATGACTCAAGATCAGTATGAAAAAGGCGTAATGAGTATTGCATCATGGTTAAACCATACCGAGGCTCTACATATTGTCGATGTGGAGTGTGCTATAGTCCCAGTGAAGCAACATAATCAAAACTTAGAGGTCAGTACTTAGAACCTATCCCATAATGCAAATGAAACAGCAGGCGGAAGTCATATTTCCCATAATTCAAACATTCCAAACCAAGTCAATGAGAATGTCTCTCATAATAAAACAGTAAATGGTTGAATCATAACTTATCCAATAACTGACTGAGTAAGACATTAAAATTGATTAAATTTGATTTCTCAACCTTAAATATTCTATTATTTGGTGTATTTCAGAGTAAAAAGTCAGAAGAATCAAAGATGGAAGATGATTTTAAACAAGTCTCAAAAATTGCTCAATCCCTTGTGAAATCCAGTGTTAAAGATGTTGTGAACAAGATGCTGGATACGCTTAAAATGCTAAAAGAGCGTCTAGTCAACTCACGCAAAGATTTGGCCCAGGCCATTAAATCATTCAAACAGGTATGAACTGTCAAAGGATATATGATAAATTTTGTAAGAAAGGAAGAGTACATTATAGTTGGTTAAATAATTAAATCTCCAATTGTTTGTTTTTTGCCTTATTCATATTTTATTTTTGATATTACAGTAAAGTAGTTGTGGACCAAAGTTATAGTTCAGTGTAAAATATTCATAGCTTTTATTGCCATCCCATAATGCATTGTATAAAGCAGACGGCCTTGTGTATTGCAGGTGCTAACTAATGTAGAATCTCTAGACCATGGAATCTCTGAACTGGACAGTTGGATTCAGAGTGGGGAAGAAATGCTACAGTCTCACAAAGTATTTGATACCAAAGCAGACACACAGAACAGACTGCAGGTTCATAAGGTAAACTACATTGCATAGATCACCAAAAATGCCTGATTTGTGAGTTAATAATTTTAATAATAGAATGATTTTTATTTTGAGTTTTTAATTCTGAAGAAAACTTAACCAAAATTATACTGAATGTTGATATGTAAAAAAGTACATGTAATAGATTTAAATAATGAGGTATATGGCAGAAGAATTTGTATTTATGGAATTAATTACCTTTTTAGAACCACTTCAGTCAGACAGTCCAGTTCAAGACAAAATGGGAGGAGATCTCCAGAACCTTCCAGAGGATTCTCAAGCTCAATCTCACCAACCTAAAGGCCTCTGAGAAACAACAACAACTTGATAGGCTTAGTCAGAGGTTCAGGGTAGGTACTCATATCCCATAATGCATCTTCCTTATTTTATCTGTCAGAGGTTCAGAGCAGGTGCACATATCCCATAATGCAACTTATTGTCTTATAAGGTTTACATGGAAAATGTCCCTTATGTATCAATTTTATTCCATTTCAGAACCTTCTATCAAGTGCTAGAGAGTGGGATCAGAAGCTTGAAAGATCCTTGCGTCTCTGGCAGATCTGGGAAGAAGCCTCCAGTCCCCTCTTAACATGGCTCGACCAATCAGAATCTTACCTTGATGCGGTGAATTCTGATGTGGATTCCAAGCTGCTTATGCAGCAACATACAACACTGTTTGGGACAATAGACCAGAACATGTTGCAGCAGTATTTGAAGACAGGCCAGGAGTTAGCGAATTATATGGAAGAAGATGATAAAGTGATGTTGCAAAAGAAGATGGCCAGTGTACATGCTAGGTGGAAGGTAGGGTCAAACTTAACATTAGAGATCATAATAGCAAAGGGCAACATGAAAATTTGTTGGAAATGATGTAATATGTGTGAAACTGTATTGTACCAAGCATAAATTAAATGTTGTGCTGAGATCAGAATGTTTTAGTGTAACCATGAATATATTCCACCAATGATTCCAGAGAGAGCATTTATAATACTTGTATGATAAATCTATACTAAAGTTCAAATATTTCTTCTAGAATACACTGTTCAGAGCACCAATGAAGCTAATGCAGCTGGAGTTCAAGGAGCCTGAGCAACATTTCCTGATGAACATAGAACATGCAGAGAATTTATTGACTCAACAGGAGGAGCAGATTGAGAGGAATGAGAATCTACAACAGCTCCTTAAAGAACATATGGTAAGAAAGGGATAAGAAAGGGAAGTGGAAGAGTTTGGGAAAACATTCAGCTACTCAGATGATTACATGCTTTTGAGAAAATAAGTAATTTAAAAATATGAATAATAACATCAAGTTTTATTTCCAATGAATCATTTATATTAATAATTGATTTCAGGAGATGTTCCATCAAAGTGACTTCCTCCCCAAGTGCAACAAGTGCCTCAAGGCAATGCAGGGTATAGGGGAGTCACTGGAAGAGCATTCCAAGGAGGATAGATCTCTGTTAGATATTCACGATCGTCATCATGCACGTCTCCAACAGCTGCTCAATAAGATAGAAGTCGTCCTGGTGCAACTACAACAATTCCCAGAGAGGTGGAAGGTTTATAACACAAAGTGAGTGACATGTTGAAAATTTTTGGAGTTTCCATTTTTTGGATTGGAGAATATTGAACACAAATTGAACACCACATTAGGATATTCTTAAGATGAGCAAGATGTAAATCTATACACCAAATTGGAGAATTTGCTTTCTTGTTCTCAAGAAGCTGATTGTTAACACCTTGTACAGTTTATTTTGAAGTAAGATGGTTCTACTTGTACAGAGGGAGCTAATAATGAATGGGTTTGAAGGAATCACTGTAAAAAGTGATCTTTTTTTAAAATATCGATCTCTCATTTTTTCAGACTGACAACATTTTGTACCTGGGTGTCTGATGTTGAGTCCAGTGTTGCAGACATGAAGCGTGATGCGCCAAGTGTCAATGAATACAAGCAGAAGGCTGACCACTTCAAGGTAAACATACTACATATCATTCTCCATGTTAAACTTTCTATTAACCACTCATTTCAGGTGAAATATCTCTGTTAGAAATTACTGGCATAGCGCAGACAGGACATATAAGCCAGATGAACTGTTAGTTATGAGTCAAGATTCATTATTGTATTTTTAACCCATCAACAATAGTGTTGAACAGGGGTGGCTTACTCATCTGATGAGTTTATTAAATTTTCCGTTTTTATTTTATTTTAGCAAATCACCAAAACAGTTGAAATCCAAACTGAAGAGGTTCAGTGGTTTGTGTCAACTCTTAATGAATTAATTGTTAATGTTGATGAAGAAGAGGCTACAAGACAACAAACTCGATTGGATACCGCAATCACCAACTATAATCAAGTCCTTCCTGAGGTTCAAGAGATTACTAGGAGCTTAGATCGTACGGAGGAAGGTTATGCGTTCTGTGATGATGCTAAGAAGAAACTTGATTTGTTAACAGCAAGTGTGAATCAGCTTGAAAGTGTCCCTGACAATGAAGTTGATGACTTGGCATCTGCTAAACAACTACTAGCCCAACATCAGGTAAACAGTTAAATACTTTGCTCTAATTGGTCAGTCCGAGGTATACAGTGCATGGAGAATCAACAATCTTTCCTTTTAACTTATAATCAAGACAGTTGATTACAACAAATCATTTATAGAGAACATAATATACTTTTGTTAATGCATCACATAATTTCAATATAACTCTAATTTCTACTCAAACGCACCAGTTGATTTCAATACTAAATCTAATTTCCATTGAAATATTTCTTGTAAAGGATATTCCAAAAATTCTTTAAATGAATTTGATCTTTCAGACTGAGCTGCAGAAGATTGAAGCTGAGAAGCAAGCCATGGAGGATGATATCAGACAAGGAAAGGGCTACCAACAGGAGGCTTCCATGCCTTCTTACCTGACTGCCACTGTGGAACAACTAGAACACACACTAGAGGGAGCCACCCAACTGGCACATGCAAAATACCAGAAAGCACAGGTACTGTATATTTCTAAAATGTAGTATTACGAGAAATTTATTTCTATGACAATTTTCAACAATAAGCTCTGTGCTCAGAATCTCAGAATATAAAAGTGTAAAATTCTGATTGCTCAGATATCATATAATCCATTGTTTTATGACTAAAAAGATTTCAATTATTTTTCTAGGTCAAGGTAGATCTTTGGGAGAGGTATGAGAAAGACAAGTCTCAGTTTGAGAATCACCTTGAACATATACAGGAAGAGTTAGAACAACTCCCATCCCTCACTTCACATAAAGTAGTCCAGGATGAATTACAGAAAAAACGCCAGCTTATATCCCTCCACGATAGTATCAAACCCTTAGCCATCCAGATAGAACAACTTAGTGAGACACTGAAGCAAGCTGCGAGTGATGAGCGAAAAGAGTCCATTCGTGCTGAGATTTCAACCCTAACTGATCAGCTTGGAAGAGTCACTGCACAGTTAAATGGGCGTGTCACTGAGCTGGAGGTGAAAGAAGAGAATTGGGCTGATCTACATGCAAGGCTTGATGATCTGTCAACCACTATGGAGAAGAAGGAAAAGATCTTACATGCAACATTGTCTTCCACTGATCTGCCATTAGAAGAAAAACAACGTAGAGTGGAGGTCAGTTGAATTATTTTGTTAATATTCCCAGGTCTGCTCGCATATATGATGGGTTAAAGGGCTTTGTATACTCTGAATATGCATCTTGTTATCATTTGGCTGTAGCATTTGCAATAGTAGCTATAGGGAGCAACTAGTTTCTTCGTATAACAATTGGCAGAATGAATAATGAAACGATATGCAAACAAAGTAAATTGTAAATAACAGTAAGGCATATTGAATCAAATATTTGTGTTAAAGAATTTGCAATATTTTCAGGCTCTGGAGGAAGACATCTTGCAGCAACAAGAAATGATGCAATCTTTAAATGATGATGCCAAGGGTCTATCCCATAATTTTAATTCCCGTGAATCTTCCCCTCTGAAGGCAAAAGTCACGTCACTCAAGCAGAAATATGACAATATGTGTCAAACTACGGAGAAAGCCAAATCTGATCTATCTAAGAATGTACTTCATTGGAACAGGTGAGTTTGTTGATTATTTATTTTTTGTTTATTTTTGTTTTTTGTTTGTTGTTAGTCCAGCCATTGTGAAAGTTGCATTGGAATTCACACTGACAGAATGAAATATTTGTATGTCATTGCGAGATTTTTCTATAAATGTAAGCAAAATATTTAGTTGATTTGAAATTTACAATGCAGATACCAACAGTTAAACAATGATGTATCACAATGGCTTGGACGTGCCCAGACTCAACTCAATGAGGCCACAACAAACCCTGGTTGCCTTGATGACTGTAACCTAGCAACAGAACAGCATCAAACCTTCTTGCAAGATCGTGACTCTGTTCACGCCACCTATAAGGAGCTTCTAGCAGAAGGCAGTAAAATTTTGGATCAGCCTGATACTTCGGCTCAGCTACAAACCATTGAAGAGAATTGGAGTCAAATGCTTGCCAGATCAAACGAACAGAAACTCCATATGGATAAATTGACAACACTATGGAAAGATTACGAACAGAGGAGATCCACATTGGAGACATCTATTGATGAGTTGAATGAGAAGCTCCTGCTTGAGTTAAGGGTAACTTCACCAGAGGTCGCTGTACTGGAGGATGAGTGGTTGAGATACAAGGTGAGTAAATGAGAGTGTGATTTTAAATCTTTAAACGCTTCAGAATTTGACTACTTAATTCATTTACAATTTGTCCAGATTCAGTATGGCCAAAAAATTGTAAAATAAATGTGCGAACCATATTCTATTCTGTCTGAAGTTAATGCCTAGACTAAATCGTAACCTAATATACATCCTATTTATTTGAAATTCATGTCGTCTGCTGACCCTAATGCATTATGGGATTGATTATAACTCAGCACATTGTTTATTTCAGCCCATGCAAGAAGAAGGTTCAGCTTTATTATCTACACTTGATAACCTAAAGTATGCAGGGGACAAACTTACTCCATTTATAACACCAGATACAAACACTCAAATACATCAAGAACAAGATGAATTGAAAAAATCTTGCGACGGTATAAATCTAACTATAAAAACACGACTTCACACATTAGTTGAGACTCTAAGAAAGAGAAAAGAATTCCGCTCAAAGTTAGAAGAATTTATAAAATGGCTTCAGAAGCTACAACGGAGATTAGATGGATATACTCAAATATTTGGAGATGAAGTAAATGAAACATTTACCAAAATGGTTGCCATGGGTGATGAATTCAAAGAAAAACGAGACACATTTGACAGTTTAAGTGCCGATGTGGAAGAACAATGTTCTGCGTGTCATGAAGATGAGGCTAATAGTTTAAATAAAGAATTTGGAGAAGTTATTTCAAATTATCAAAACATTGACTCAGTACTACAAGCCAGAGTTGAACTTTGCCAAAAATGGTCACAATATAGTACAGTTCAGAAAGGTGCCATGTCTCGATTAAAGACACTTCAGACTAAAGTCCAGTCTCAAGAATTTAAAGAATCTGACATTGGATCTGTGCGTAAAGAAATTAAAGGAGTATATCAGGTTCTAAATGAATGGACTGAACAGAGTACCGAGTTGGATCAGTTAATGCATCGTGCTCAAATGACAATAAAAGATCGCACAACGCAACGTGCAACAACATTTAGTGAGGAAATACAAACAGTGATCTCTGCATCTGATGCTCTTAATGATACCATAAACAATAAGCAAACTCACTTTGGACAAGTTGCCGATTTATGGCAGGTGTTCACGTCTGCTAAAGACACATTCCTATTATATTTAAAAGATGTGGAACACAGAATCGAATACTGTAAGGTACCAGAAACAAGTTTAAAATCACTACAGAATACTTTGGATCATTTGGACAAAATACTCAAGGATTTAGACGCGCATACATCTGAGTTAGACAATCTTATGGAAATGGGTCAACAATTGAAACAAACCGACCAGTCTCAACTTTCATATGCTCAGGGATGTCTTAGTTCAATAGAGACTGCATGGGAGGCCACTCATAACCAACTCGCAACTAAGCAACAATCTATGACATCAGTGGTCTCATTATGGAAACATTATACAGAGATGCATGAAAACTTGGAACAGCTACTTAATGAAGTGAAGGAAGAGGTTGTTTCAAAACCTAATTGTCTTACTCAAGATGATGTACAAAAATGTTTGGATAAAAATAAGGTATGTAAAATTAGAAATAGTTGTAAAATAATCTTCACACACCAAGATATCATTGTTGACTGAGAGTACAGGTCAAGATCACAAAAACCTTTACAATTTATAATTCCAGTGAATGGTTGGTTGAAATTCATTATTTTTTGGTCCAATAAAACCAACAGTCATTGGTTATTCACAGGTATATTGTCTACTCAATCAAAACAAAGTATACTTTTCTTGTGTTTCTTTTTAGTACAAAAGGTGTTTGATTGTTTATGCATTGTACAATGTTTGTCATTTCCCATTTCAGAATGGAGAGTTCAGATTGACAAGTAATGTCTCTCAACTTGAGTCATTGAAGGCTAAAGGTCAGCAGATCACCAGTGAGGTGGAGAGTGGGGAGGTGCAAGGCTTTGACAAACAACACATTCACACCTCAACACAGAATGTGGTCTTACTATGGGAATCCACAATGCAGGTATGGTCAAATTTATAAGTCCCCGAATATTAACATATTGGATTACTGGTCTAAACCAGAAGGAAGTATGTTAATATCAGGTGTAATACATTTCTTAAAACATTACTGTCAGATTCATTTTCAGAACTATTTTCTTTATTAGTTGATGTTGTTGAAATGATGGCATTTTTGAAAACTTAACAGTGACCCATCTTCTGTGCCCCCATACACATGGTAATGAGTATATGTAACATATCATTGATTTCAGACTATATCAGAAGGTCAAAAGAATCTGCAAAGTCAATTGTCACTCTGGGACCAGATCCAGGCTGCAGGAAAGGAAAGTTGCGACTGGTTAGATATAACCAAAGAGAGGCTCACTGGGTGCCTGGATGATTTCAAAGATGCAACAAAGGCAGAGAGTTGTCTCGATAAATACAAAGTAAGTCAAGTAATGCTACATAAACTTATCTGGTATGATATTTGAGACAGTAAATACATTGAAATGTGTTGCTTAAATGTCTAAACATAAACAACCTATCAACTTTTTAGGGTGAACTAGAGTACTTTGAGACAGTACATGCAACTTACCAAGAGAAAGTATCTGATCTTGAAAAACTAAACAATGAGAAAGACATTCCCAGTCTTCATGATGCTGAGCAAGAGATCAGTGAGAAATTCAAGGAGGTTGATCAACTTGCAACTGAGCTGGCTGCAAAGTTACAACAATATTCAGGTACTAAATTTTTGGATAATAACATGGATACTAGATGTTTTCATTTGAGTCTTGTTTCATGACCCCATTAATTGTACAATTTTTCCACTCTTTTCTAGTGTGTACTCAAGTTATTTAAATAGATATTATCTCTAACTTTGTTTCAAAGTTGAGAATTTAAATGTTTTCTGGATTTGCAGCAACCAAGTCTGGTGTTGAGAGTGAGATCAGCCAAGAGTTGGAATGGCTGAATGAACTGAGGGAGAAATTGGCCCAAGTTGACACATTGACTGGGGATGACACACAGCTGCTGGAGAGGCTTGACACATGCAAGGTAAAAGATCATCATTTTATTCCTTGTAGCTATTAAAATAATATGAAATCAAGAAGATCCTTATTATTATAGGATGTCATAAATAATGCAAATTACAACAATTTGAAATTTCTATTTCATTTTTATTTTGGTATGTGTTTCCAGAGTGTTCAGAGGGAATTAGCTGCCCACGAGGAAGTGCTGACAAACCTACAGGGTCAGGCTCAGCATCTCAGTGCCACCTATATGTCACCCGATGCAACTAATATTGCCAAAGATAGCTCTGTTCTTACAAAGAAATATGATACTGTGCTAAATAGGGCAACAAAGGTAAATAATGAAGGGTTTTATATTTCTATAAACAAATCAAATAATAAAAAATTCCAGTCAGCTTTCTATTCAAATATGTCTGCTTTTTGTTGCATTATGGGTAATTATCTTCTAGGTTGAAGTGCAGTTGCAGGGTGCACTAGAACAGCATGCAACTGAGGCACGTGTGGAACAACAAAGATGGCTGACAACTGCCAAGGAACGTGTCGAGTGGTGTGCTGCATCTGTGGGTGACAAACACGCTCTCGAAGCCAAACTCGCTGCCATGGAGGAACTGGTTACAGTGTTACCTGAAGGAGACCAGCGTACTAAGGTGACAAAGGAAAAAGCAGAGATTCTGGGCACTGCAGTACCTGAGGAACGACGTCTTGAAGTGGCACAGACCAAACAGTTGGCTGATGATGAGTGGGCGGCATATGTTGAACAACTTGAAGTCACCAAGTAAGAGACAGCTTTGATAACTTTAACCTTTGTAAAAGTACTCAACAATGGCCCTTTAAAATAAATCAAGTAACTTGCTGGAAGTACAGTATACTGTACATAATGTCACAAAATGGATGTGATGTCGTTTCTTTCTGTTTCAGAGCCCAGTTAGAGAAAAGTAAAGCTGCATGGACAGAGTTTACAGATCTGTATGAGACCCTGGGTCAATGGCTGACCTCGACTGAGGAAACAGTACGCCAAGAACAGAATCTTAGACCCACTCTGCCAAGTAAACTGGAACAGAACCAGGCATTCAAGGTCAGGAGAACCTAAATGTTTTATGAATCCAACTATTTAGGTTTAATCTAGTGTCTTGATCAAATAAGAAACATTTAAATGATCATTTTCAAGTTTATGTATCCCATAATGCATTTGGTTTTGCAGACGGATCATTGCAAGTTTTTCATTGGTCAGAAGAATCTTATTGTCATATATGAATCTGATGATAAACAAGGTTTTATTTAGTGTTTGCATTAAGAAATATTTAAATGCTTACGGATCATTGATTTTGTTGTAGAAATTATCCACAATTGTGTCAGCCCATCAGGGTGCAGTAGAGTCTCTAAAGGAGCAGGCTGACAGGCTTGGTGGGGCAGATAGTGCTGCGGCACACCAGGCAGAACATGTACATGATAGATACATGGCACTGGTTGAATCAGTCAAGGTAAATCCAAATGTAAAAAACTGAGTTGAGATAAATATAAATATAAGGAAATAATATATTAGAACTCAAAATGGCAAGATGTTCATGTTTTACGAAAAATGTATACTGAAGTGACATCATCAAGATAATAGATATGAATGTTTTTTTAATTTTTTAAATTTATTTTCAGGTTTATTCAACTGTATTTCTTATTAGATATATTATAATTTTTTAACATTCAAGGTGCACTCTACCAAAAGTGAAGATAATGTTGAGGAACATGAGAATTACAAGGAGAGTTACGACTCTTGTCTTGTTTGGGTGACTAAAGCCCAGCAGAAGCTACAACCATGTACCAGCACTACGGGAGATAAAGAGCAGATCCAAACACGACTAGACACTGTCAAGGTAAGTCATTGGGTTGATTGAATTACAGTATCCTCTATATTCAATGTTGTTTTTTTTCAGATAAAACACTTTTATATTGATCCCAATTTGATTATTTTCCTATTGTTTGTTTACCAGGACATTGCTAAGGAACAACAAATTGGTCACGCTAAATTCAACAGCGCTGTTGAAAAAGGTGAACTTCTCTATCCCCACACAGCCCAAGAAGGCCGTGACATCATCAGACAAGAGCTACGCGACTTACGTGAAAGCTGGGAACAATTTAGCGATAGTTTGAATGAATGTGAACACCGCCTTGAGGCCAGTGTTGTCCAGTGGAGTAGCTATGACGATAACTATAGACAACTGCTACAGTGGATGGCGGATACAGAGACCTCTGTTGCCTCCACACTGGAGCCAAAAGCAACCTTACAAGACAAGAAGACAGTGTTGCAACACTACGTGGTATATATAAACATCTATCTGGGTGATATGCTTTCAAGGAGCCACCAGCTTAATGCATCCCATAATGCACTTGGTTTAGCAGACGAACTGATGCATTATGGGATGGGATAAAATGGACTCCTTCCTGTATGATGGATTCTTTCCTCATATTATTTCTAAGTGTGTCTTTAGAATAGATGATTTATATATTATTCTGCAGTGTGCCATTGTTTTATGAATAAACTTTATTTGGATAGATGTTTGGCTATCAATTTATGCTTTCATGATTAAAATATAATTATAACTCCAAAATTCACCATTATGCTAACATTTCTCATAAAAATGTGATAACTCGTATTTCATGATCCTCAAACAGTTAAGAAATCAGATTTTGATAGATGTTTTAACTTAATCCAGGGGCAGGGACACTTCACTTACTTTGCTAATCTCTGCTAATGAAGAAATAGAAACAGGTATTAGAGAAAAAATGTGTATAACTAGCATTTAATCATTGATGCCAAATTCTGCTCAAATAAAGTTTATGCACATGTGTATCTGTTGGATAGACCAGCCTGTGGTATTTGCATCACACATTTTATAAAATGTATGATGTGACAAGCCATGACTCTCCGGTTGGTGTATTTGAGAGATAAACATAGTGTCTTAGGGGCAAAATTGTATTTGGTTGTACTTAAATATGAAATGAACATTGTTCATTTTGCTTCAAAGTTTCATTCTTTAGGTTTGAAAGTAATTCCAATATTTGCATTGCTAAATATCAAGCAATAATTGACAGTTTATTAGCCTAGTCTAGCCTAGCTTAGCTCTGTTCCGTATTATATTTTATAGATTTCTATAAAAATTCGATATATGTATTATGTGCTTTGCTTATTTACAATCCAGGCTATTGAACAGAACATAGTATCACATAAGAGTTTACTGGATAATATTATGGAGAAATCTCAGTCGCTCACATCGCCTGATGCACAATCTGGTGTATCAGAATTACAAGAACAGTATGAGGCCCTGCGCAACAAGTGCAAGGTAAGAACAGATATACCATAATGCATTGCATTCAGCAGATGGCTTCTTAAAATTTACTTACACATTTAATTCTACATAATTGTTTTCTTGATCATAATTAAAAACAGTGACGTGCCATGAGAGCCTCAGTATGATACGATAATATATGTCCCATAATGCATTTTATCAAGCAGACAGCTTCATAAAATGTACATGATTTTTCAGGAAAATATAAGCACATTGGAATACAATGTTAGTGAACACCAGAGGTACAATGAGAGCCTTCAAGAGGTCCAAGAGTGGCTTGGATCAGAACAGGACACTCTTGTAGCATGCACTGACACTAGTGGTGACAAACACTCTCTATACAATCGCCTAGATACCATACAAGCTGTGACAACATCAATAGAGAATGGAGAGGCTAAATTGAAATCTTTGGAAAATCAAGCTGCTTTGATAGCAGAAAGTTCAAACCCAAGTGGACAACAGACTATAAACAAAGCTAGAGATACATTAAAACAAAATCTTGCCAATATGCATGGACAAATCAGAGAATCTCAGGAATCATTGAATGTGAAGGTATCTGAATGGAAGGAGTATGAAGCACTGTTTGAAGAGCTCTCAAAATGGCTGAAAGTTATGGAAGGTCAGGTTAAAGGTCAGGAGTTCAAGGCCACTGTTGATGAGAAAAAGTCTCAAGTTGAAACATTTAAGGTAAGAATCTTAGAGATATCACTTTCAGAAATAAACTACCCTTATATTACAGTCAGTGAAATCAAGGAATAATCACATAAAGATCAAAACATTTTGAAACACCCTCACACATATGTTAGCAACATTGTTTCTGGAAACATTTTGAAAACCCCTTTTTATGATGTATTATGAATGATTTCAGAATTTATTGAACACTGTAAGCAGTCGTCAGGAGGACTTCGACCAGCTGTCTACCCAGGGCCAGAAGCTCGACAGAGGGGAGGCCAGGCAGACAACATTGACCAATCAGCTTAATGCTAGGTACCACACCCTCAAGTCAAACATCAAGGTAAGGTTTGAACTATAATGTAGGATAGCTTATGTATCGGATTACACATGTGTTTAGATATTTATGTGTTTAATATCATGTGTACATGTATTCAATTTTCATGTATTGAACACATTTTTTCATATTTTTATTATATTGAATGGTATGAGATTACACACATATGGTTTTTGTTTTCCATAGGAATGAAATTGGATCACACATGTCTGTTATGATGAACACATATTTCTACTTATAACTCTTCATGCTTTGTGATTTTAGGATGCTATCTCCACATGGGAAGCTTACGTTGAAAGCCACACAGAGTACAACTCAAACTACGAGCGATGTACACACTGGCTCTCTGATATGGAGGCTAGAATACGCGATGCCAATAGTACATCCGGTGACCAATCAGAGCTCGTTGCTCGGCTAGGTAAGTTAGAAATCTATATGTAGAAGTTCTGTTGAGAAGTGGTAAATACAATTTGTGCAGTTTCACAATTAAGTTTGCATCCCCATCTTATCTGTGTGTGCATAGAAGACAACATTTAGTAAGGTGTCATATATTGACTTATTTCTTTCAAATTCTAGGTCACCTTGATGATGTTTTGCTTGAGAAAGATGAGGGTGCTTCAATACTTCACAGTGCTGTTGAGAGTGGAGAGAAGTTGTACCCTACTACCTCAGTTGATGGCAGAGAGGCCATTAGACATGCTCTCAGGTAAGATTCTTGTAATATTTAACCAGAGCAGTTATGGAAAATATTATGAAATTTGGTTTTGCTGTATAGGAATTCATACCATAGAAGAATTCATACTTGATATGAATACTTCATATCTGATATTTTTCAGGGGACTGCGTGAGAGGTTAGATGCTGTTAGTGATTCAGGCTCAGATGTTCATCACAAGTTAGACACCACCCTTAACCAATGGACACAGTTCCAGGAAGCTCTCCGTCACTTCACTAAGTGGCTACGTGAGCTAGATCTTAAACTCAAACAGGAGACAGAACTTCGAGCCAATCTTACTGATAAGAAATCTCAAATGCATACTGTTAAAGGTTTGTATAGAGATGTGATGTCACGGCGACACAGCCTCAATGATCTCATGGATAAGGTAAACAATTTGGTGGCAGCCAGTGGGGAAGAGTCTATGAAAGATGAAGTTGAGTCTATTAAAGAGGAATATGAGGGAGTATGTAATGAATGTAAGATGAACATTGGGTCTGTTGAGGAGGCTATTGTAAACCACCAACAGTACATTACCTCTCTTCAAGATTGTACAACATTTATTGAGAACATCAAAACTAAGGCTATAGCCCTCAAAGATACAACTGGGGACAAACACTCAGTTCAAAACAGACTTGAGCGCCTACAAGAACTGGAGTCAACTAAAAACAATGGTGAATCAAAATTGGTAAAAACCAAAGATGATGCATCCAAAGTCCTAACAGAAACAAATAAAACTGGACAGGAGGTTATCAAAAAGGAACTGGAAAACCTTCAGAAGGATTGGGAACTAATTGAGGCATGTCTGCATGAGACAAGGCCACAGTTAGAGAGTGTTTTACAGCATTGGAGCAGCCATGACTCTAAACTGGACGAATTGAATCGCTGGATCAGGGAGACTGAGCAGAAAGTGAAAAATGTGGAACTGCTAGCTACCATTGATGAAAAAGAGAAACAGCTTGAAAATATGAAGGTACGTATGTTTGTTTTGGGTAGTTTTTTATTTTGAATTTTTAAACTTTTATTTGTAGTAGTGTAATGTACAACCCTTCAATTGGTTAGGGCAATATAATTGACTTTGCAATCAAATGATTTGGTATTTTCATTTGATGATATATTAATAAACAATGGTCTTTTACATCTTATAAAATGTTGTGTTTTAGGAACTTCAAGAGGATATAATCAGTAGACAGACAGCAATTGAAGACTTCAGTATGACATCACAGACCTTAATCCCAGGAGATAGTCGTAATGCAGCATTCTCTAGTCAACTCAGCACCCGCTACCACAGCCTTAAATCTACCATAAAAGATACAGTCAACAAAGTCCAGGTTAGTTTCAATGATAATAGATTTTCAAATCATATAAATGTAATATCGTATGACATTTCACATTTGATTCTTACAATCTAGATATAAGACTACACCGGCCCATATATTTCCTTTCCGATCTCCTTCACAAGACCTTTTATGCAGAGATCTTTTTACTCCCTACAGGCTTCAATAAAGGATCACCAGATGTACCTAGATAGTTACTCAGAGTGTAAGGAATGCTTAGATTCACTTGAATCCAACATAGAGAACAACTCTACCTTGGCTGGTACTCTGAAGGGGGTGCAGCAACAACAGGAACAGCTGCAGGTATGTTTGTGAAGTCATTCCATTTATTAAACCTACTTCTTGTTTACACATGGGCTTTAGCCCATGGTATACAGAACTATTCCTTGAATATTACAGTGGCACAGTGATCAATGATATCGAAGCTACAGCCAGTGACTGCAACTACAGCTGCATCTTAGCCCCAAATTGAAATTACTCTCGACATCTAAAGAAAACTGATAAATCTAGATATTTTATATGTTAAAATAGTGTTCATTTACATGTACTCCATTACTCTTATTATCTGTATTTACAATCATTTATCACCTTAAATAGAATTTTCCATTGAGAACATGAGTTTTAAATGATGTGTTATACTCCACAGGGTCTGAAAGAGCAAGATGAACGCAGTGTTGAATTGTTACACAGAACTGTGGAGAGAGGTGAAAGGTTATACTCCAGTACAGCAGCTGAGGGGAGGGAGACAATTAGACAACAACTCAGGTAAGAATTTCACTTTGGACCAAAGGGTATACGATGCTGACTGGCTAACAAGCACTAAAATGCCCATATAACTGCAGTTTACTTAAAATAAAAAAAAAGTTATAAATAGCGTATTATGAAATAGATTCATTCTAAGGTTAATGTTATATTGTTATAAATCAGTGAATGTTTCATTGAAATCCATACCTTCACATGTGCAATATGTATTGTGGAAAACATGAAGATGTGAATAGATACTGTGATACGTCTTTGAATATCTATTTAATGCAATCATTTTCTATTACAGATCATTAAAGATGCAGTCTGATAAGGCATCAGACAAACTCCATACTTCCCAGCAACAAGTTGACGCATGTGCCATACAATGGGCCACATATACAGACAGCCATGAACATTTCAATACATGGTTACTGGAAATAAAGCAGAGAATCAACAGCAACAATGAACTCAAGTCAACAATCTCTGAGAAAAAGTCACAGTTACAGGAACAGAAGTTATACTACCAAGAATTGGTGTCTCATGGCCATTCCCTGCAAACTTTGATCAATAAGGCTGATACTGTTGCGAAGTTAACTGACACTGTTGATATTGAACCAAGTATTAAAGCAATTAAAGGGGAATATGATGAACTGGTGAAGGAATCCAAGCTTTTGGTAGAAGTCATGGAGAGTTCATGTACGCAGCATCAGGATTATGACAACGCTGTTCAGAACTTTGCCGACTGGATTGAAAACATCAAGGAGCAGCTGAATCCATTATGCCAAACAACAGGAGATAATCTCACATTACAGAATAAACTTGATAAACTCAAAGATCTGGAATACTCAATCAAAACTGGCAACCAGAACTTAGCAAGTATCAAATCACAGTCAGATAAAGTCATTGAGAAAACATCTGAATTGGGTCAGGGGACAATATCGCGGGATTTAGCCGCCATGAACACAGATCTAGAACTGTGTAAATCAACATGTGTTGAGGCACAGAATGAGCTCAAGAATGTTCTAGAGGATTATTCCTCTTATGAGCTGTTCTATGAGGCGTTGACTCAGTGGTTAAGAGATATGGAGACCAAGCTCAAGGGAATAGATATGAAACCAGACCTATATGAGAAACAAACACAACTTGATAAGATTAAGGTAAGAATTTTTTTTTACTTCATGTAGGTTTTTGCACCTACTAGGAGCAAAGTACCTTTTTACTCCCAAATACCTGATAGCTGTCCTTTCTTGATTGATAAAGACATTCTGTGTTTTCACTTTTGCCCCTGCTTCTTTAATAAGACCACAGTATGTGAACTTTGTATCCTAAAAGGTAATACACAACCTTCTTGTTGACATTGAAAAAAATTTAAGCTTTGAGATAACATTGAGTACAAGCCTCATTTTTATTAGACATTTTTGAAATTTACTAGGTCATTGTAAACAATTTGTACATGAGATTATTGTTTGTTTTAGCTTAAAGTCATAGTGATATTTTAAATGGGATTTAAAAGCACTATAAAAGTCATTTGATTTTTACTTGCCAGTCTGTATTTTAAGTTTCAATACTATTAGACTTTAGTTTGCATACTGTGAAACTGGTATGTGTTATTTTTTAATGATACCAGAAGTTGTTTGCATAATTTTGTCACATAATCAATAAATGCTTTGATTTCAGGTTCTACAAGATGATATTGTAGACAAACAGACTGATTTTGAGGATGTGGTTATCAAGGCTCATGACCTTCAAGGAACTGATAGCCGCCTAGCATCTCACACTAACCAGCTAAATACAAGATACCAGGAGCTCCAAACAAATACCAAAATAGCCGTCTCCAAATGGGAGTCTTACATTAAGTCTCATGCTGCTTACAGTGAAGCATATTCTGAATGTTCACAATGGTGTTCTTCTCTATCTGGGGATATAACAAGCTGTAATGTTTCGACAGGGGATAAGAATACAATAACCGAGAGTCAGGTACGCCTACAGGAGTTGCTTGATGAAAAAGATAAAGGTGCGTCTAAGATCCAGGCTGTGATAGAGGCGGGTGAGGGCCTGTACCCAAGCACGAGCTCAGATGGTAGAGAGATTGTGCGTCAAGAGTTGAGAGTGTTAAAAGAACAATGGGACGCTCTGTCTGATCAAGCTCTCGAAACTCAACATGCTTTGAGTAGTAATCTTGTTCAATGGTCAACATTTGAGGAAACTTGCCTGCAGTTCATACAGTGGCAGATAGGTGTCTCACATAAGCTCCCCACTGATATGGATTACAAAGCCACCCTTGGGGAGAAATCCATCCAATTACAAGACCACAAAATCATACATCAAGATATTGTTAATCACAAACAAGGCCTTGATACGCTAAACCAACGACTTCATAATATGTCCACTAGGGATCCCTCAGTTGCGGACATTGTTGAGAAAATCCAGGATGACTATAGAGTATTAGTTGAGAAATCTAAGGCTATTATTGGGACCCTTGAGAAAAGTGTTAGTGAACATGGGGAATACCACGAAGCAGTTAAAGAATTCTCTGAGTGGATTCAGGAGCTCGAGAATGAACTCGAAGGACTCAACAACACAACAGGAGAGAAACACACTGTACAGACAAGACTGGATAAGATTAAGGTAATTTTATTGTATCCATATACTTGGGGTAACAATAAATTAAATTCTGAAGGGTTTTAAGTGTATGTTGGATCTACCTTAAAGGAATATTCCTTGCCAAACCATCTCTCTCCTCATATGGTAGCTATAATCATATATATGCTTGCCATGTTTAGCAAAACACGCAAAAATGTTTTGATATGGTCAAATGTGATCACTTAGAAATGTGATGCTCAATTCCAGTAAGCTGCCATCTTTTAAAATTTCACACAGGAAGTGATGTCATCGACTCTCAACTTTGCATATAGCATTAGATGAGGAGCTATTAAGAATTACAAAACCAGCTAAATATTCTTTTTCAACTTTGTATCTTATTTAATCCTTCTGAAAATCTCTTCTTTTATTCTAAGTTGACAAGCCCTGAAAATATTTTTACACAGAAAGTAATGATCACTTGTCTAGAAGTGATTTTGTGCTACTTTCCTATACTGTTATAGGCAAGGTTATAGAAGTTGAGAGTTGATGACATCACTTCCTGCAAGACATCTTAAAAGATGGCAGCTCACTGGAAATAAGCACTAGTTTTTTAAATGATCAATATTGACCATATTAAAACATTTTCCCATGTTTTGCTAAATATGGAAACTATATATATGATTATAGCTACCATATCAAGAGAGAAAGGGTCTGGCAAGGAATATTCCTTTAAAGATGCAGTGTCTTTTTGATGATTTTTTTAAAGCGGCATATTTATGATAAATTTTTAGGGAAATGTGGGTGAGCTACACTTTTACAAATAAAATTAGATGTTAACAGTTTTCATAATGGATGTTTATGTGATTGCCAAACATTTCCATATACCGGTATTATAATTGTGTCATTTTAGTCCCTTCAAAACCAAGAGTCAGTTGGAAATACCAAACTAGATGACTTGACAGAGCTAGGAGCTAAAGTATCGGAGACCACATCATTGCCAGGCATAGAGACTCTGCAGAGTGAAATTACAAAGTTAAAATCCAAGATGGCTACTGTCTTTGATAAAATGAATAGCTGTGAAGAAAGTATACAGGTATATTACAACGTTTTATCACATTATGTCAAAGACCTTATGCAGGTATCATTGAAAGGAGAATGTGTTTGTGTATATAATGTTAAGAGTATAGCAAATATACTGTATGTTCATTCAAAATCAAAAAGCCCATCTTATAAAAAAGTATTCTTGTTGATATTTTAGGCTATAGTTGATAAGTGGCAGAATTATGAGGATAGTTACACTAAGGTGACTGCATGGATGAAGGCCTCAGAACAGCAGATTAAAGTGTACGAACTGAAGGCATCACTTACAGAGAAACAAGAGCAGCTACAGAAACTCAAGGTAAATAAAGAGAATGTGAGCACATCTCATGAAGACTCAAAACATTTAACCCTTTGTTGAATGTCAAATATACACTAATATTCATTTCAGTCAAACCAGAGTTAAATATGGAAATATGTTAAATATGGAAATTGAAATTCAACACATTTCAACCAGTTCTGATATAGTTTTAACCCACAATACATTCAGGGATGTAACACATGTTTGATGTAATCTGATTGGATGTGTTCCTATCCATGCTGAAAATGTGATTCTATCAATTTGAAAAAATATTCATGTATCATGTGTTACACTGTGATTTTTAACCAAACTTTTCCAAAGAATAAACCCTGTGTATAGTTAGGGCCTTTACCATTTCAGACCTTGAAAGAATCTGTTGCTGATTACCAAGATGAGATTGATGACTTCATGGATGCTGCACATGATCTGGTTGAAGCTAGTGAGGAGACACGTATATCAAGCTACATAGCTCAGGTGTCAAATCGCTACCAGGCTCTACAAGTACATTGCAAGGTACAATTTTGCTTTCATATTCTCTGTATATAAACTTAAGCGTTTTTGAGTTCAGTGTTTGCAACAAAGTCTTGAATAATTACTAATAGTGCTTTGTGCTCAGACTTTGAACAGCACTTGTTTTGAATCATTGGTGTTAAAATTGATAAATAGTTGAAACTTTTTGATGTTATGTATTTCAGCGTTATGGGAATTTAAGTGTATGTATTCTAACCTAATTAATTCTCACATATATCACATTTTCAAATCTGGTTTTATTTTTATTTTGAAGACACATTATTATATTTTTAAATCACATTTGTACATCTTTTTTCATCACATTTATACTGTATTTCTCAAAAAAGAGTTATATTATTTTCCAATATCTCTTGTCAAAGCATGAGCATGGTGCGAGGTGTAGTAAATAGACATGGTTCATATCTCATTTTACCATGAGTCCTTCAATTGGAGCAGTTTATACCAATTACGAACAGATTGTCTTTTAAGTGAATTTCTGATTGAAGCTAGTAAAAGTATTGAAAGATTTGCTCTTACTTTGTATAATGCATTTAGAAGCATCCCACAGCTTTGTAATTATCAAGGTTACCTTCGTAGTATTAACTTAACCGATTGAGTAAGATATAAGGGAAATAACTAATTAAATCCCTGATAGATTGAGATGAGGACACCACACTAATCCCCAGGGGCCATTCTATCACACATTCTCAGTATAAGTTCTCTTGAAAATGTGTCTCTTAACCTCCTTATTATTATCTTATAGGAGCTGATATTGAAGTGGCAGGGTTATGTAGGAGAACACGAGACGTATGAAGAGAAGACTGAAGGGTTTGAAAGCTGGCTGAGTCAGGCCAGGTCCAGGCTGGAAGAGTGCACTCAAGACTCCATGGATAGAGACATACTACAGGAACACAAGTATACAGTACAGGTGAGTGCATGGGAAATATTCAGTGGGTCAAATGAGAATTACAATAGTCTATTATCCTCCCATTTTCTATTTCCCCATCCTTGTATTATATGTCATCTATTGTCTGTTTGCTCACCTAGATAAAGGAGTACTTTGCATGAGTGCAGAAAAAATAAATAAAAATACAATAAATGTAGAAAACATATTTAAAGTCTTGCACATTTCATTCATATGCTTATCATGTTACCATCAATAAGTAATACCTGTAACAAAGTGTTACACTTTTCTTTCCATATGCAATAACTGATTTGGCTTCCTGACATTATACTCTCTTGTGATCAGTAGGGTAAACCAAAAAAGTTCAGGTTTAATTATTTAATCTTTTGTTTCAGATCTTACTTGCTGAGAAAGACCAAGGATTACAATGTCTCAATGAACTTGTCTCAAGTGGAGAGAAACTTTATCAAGGAACATCTCCAAAAGGCCGTGAAGTCATCCGCCATGACTTGCGATCTGCCAGAGAATCATGGGATAGCCTCATTCTGAAACTAACTGAATCTCAGAAGTCAGTTGACACTGCATTGACTGAGCTGAACCTTTATATTGAACATAAGGCAGTGTTACAACAATGGCTTGATGATACCTTATCTCAGTTAAGTGGTGAGCTTAAACTGAAACACACCTTAGCAGAGAAGCAGACTCAGTTAGAGAAACACAAGGTAAGAGAGCATCTCAGTAGTACAATGTTGGATTATTGATTCTAGTTTTAGATGTGATCTTTACCCTACCCTCAATAACTCTGAGAAATGGTGGACCACATAATTAATTCAATTTGGTGATGAATTTCACTTTCATTTCAGCAAATTGTACAAGGTGTTGTTGCCAAGAAACGGGATGTTGATTTGTTGGTCTCTGAAACAGAACAGTTGAGCAAGGGGGAGGAAGCACCACAAATGGAAGATCTAGTGTCAGGCATTCGTGAGAAATACACCCAGCTTGTCACAATTGCTAAGGTAAGATTTAACCCAATGTGAGATCAGGGGCGAAGCCAAATATGAAATGAAATAGAAAAATTTGAATATACTTTTTGAATTAAAGTCCAATGGAAATACTGTAGCTTGTAATAATATGTCCCAGTTTTGGGTTTATCAATAGGTTTTTGGCTGATAAATATGGCAGTATTGTAGACTTTAGTTCACATGTTATTATTCTCTTAACAAATGGACCACGCTGCTTTCTTATAAACATGCTGACAATCTATTCTAAGATCCTGACCAGACCATTGAGGATGCTTAACATTTAAACTGACAGCATTAGTACTGATTGCTACCTGATTTGTTGTGCCCGAGTCTCTGACTGTTTGCCTTTAAAGTGTCTCACATATTCGATCAAAATTTGCCATGCAAACATGTTAGTCTACTTTACTGGCCCCCCTTGCTGTAACAAGGAACCCAAAACACATTAAAACGTAAACATAAACCAATTAGTCACTTCACTATGAAAGTGAGGGGTGTTAGTCCATGCACACAGCGTATTCTGCTAATACATATTTGCTAACACAATATCAGTGGTCATTTACTGTGTCAACTTAGTGACCCTTGCATATCGTGCTCACTCAAGTATTGAATATTTTTTTTATGATCTAAATGTTTGTGGTTTATAAAAAAATGTGATATATTTTAGTTAGAAATACATTAATTAATATATTCATTCAAACAGCACTAGAATGCGGGAAGAAAGAGCAATGGTGACAAAATGCAGACAGAATTTTCTGTAAGGGTTTCAAACATTTCTGGACACAATCATACATGTACTTCATGTGTACTGTTATTTTTAGTGCTGTATTTATAGATATAATTTCACGTATTAAAATCATATTTTCCAGCAATGACTTCAAATTCGGAACCACACCCATATCACATTTTCTTCAATAACTCCAAACATGTGTAAACATTGACCATGTGCATATAAATTCAGATTTCACGTGCTCTTTCCTATTCGAGTACCTCATACACCCCTGCATGGATTTGAGTTGGATTCGCCTTTTATACGTGAGCCGACACACTCGCAAACGCTGATTGGATAAAGATTGCGAGAATCTTTAAACTAAAATATAAGAAATGTCATGAGTATTTTGTCTTTCAGGGTCAGTGCCAGCAGGTTGAGACGTCAGTGACTGAACACAGGACCTACTCTACAACATACCAGACTACCATAGATTGGCTAAAACAACAGCAGACCAAGCTGAACCTCTATGGAGAGACATCAGGTGACAGACACGTGCTGCAGAATAGACTTGGGAGGCTACAGGTAATGGGAATTTCTCTTTTGTATATTTCGCACCAATGAAATAGAGAGTATGCAAACATAAATTACTACAGGACTTTGGTGGACTCTGTTGTTTGGGGCATTGCAAGCTTAAATATTCTGAACCATATTTTTGAATTGATAGGAAACAGCACGTTACCATATCACTCCACTGGCCACTTTTATGTTGAATCAAAATTATGGTCGTTTTTTGCAATATGTTTCATATTATTTAACTGTTTATGAACATATTTTGTATATGATCATTAACTGGATTGTTTTGATGGACCTTTTGACCTTGTACCAATGAGAACTACTTGAACCAACTCGTTAATGTGAGGATTATGATAAATGCCCACTTTGATATCAAATCATCGGTTAAAAAAGTTTTTAAAGTTTGTAAATGTGATTAAATAAGTAGACAAATACTACACTTATACTTCATTCCAGTAACATGTTGTTTCATATTTCAGGGATTGCAAAGCACAACGGCTGAGGGGAGAAAGTTGCTTGATCAATGTTGCCATAGTGCTGATGTTACCATGGCAACCACTGGTAGCAACGGGCGGATTAGCATCCAGGATCAAAACTCAGCACTCACTTCTGATTTCCAAGAGTTTGAGAGTAAACTCGGGAGAAATATTCAAGGCATCGAAGATTGCTTGGAAAAATGGCAGAATTATGACTCAAAGTATGAATGGTTCGCTGGCTGGATTAAAGAAAGGGAACGAGAGGCAAAGGATTTCTCACTTAAGGCTTCCCTGCCAGAGAAAGAACAACAGCTGACTAAATATAAGGTCAGTTAATATACTTATATTTTGGATGATAACAGTGTGCATTAACAAAAAGCATAATTGTAATTCTAATAATGAAGAGCAATATACAAAAATTACAAATCTAGGAGATCCATAAATTTACCTGGCATTTTTGCAAAATGTAATCCTGATATTAATTATTAAAAATGTGAACTGATAATCTCGAAACTATGACAAGTTTGAGCACCACAGGTGCATATACCAAGTATGCCTCTGTAGATTTGAATATGTAGTACCCACTCTCGTGTGAAATGTGTACTGACTCATCATTGACCCATTTAATGTATGAATCATTGTAGGAATTATGCTCTGAAATCAAATCTAAACATTCAGAGATTGAGGAACTACAGCAGATGTCCCAAGATGATGTAAGGATTAAATAGTATATAATGGTGCTCATAGGTGTCACTCACACTGTTGCTATGCTGCCATCTATGCTTTGTTGCTAAGGCAACTATTGCTTTGCCACAAATATGTGGTCTGTTTTAACACAGGCATGCTGCTATGGAGACCAAAATTAACCTTGCTTTAGTTATGGATTAGCTGCATGGGATCAAGGGCTTTTGACCATATTTGGAAGAATACAATTCATCCTCTTGGTTTTGGGCTTTACGCATTCTAGCAAGGTCAATCTGTTATATTAGCTTGGTGGTGGACATTATCATTGACTTCAAGACTACATTGCATACATTTGAAAATTTTGAAGTGGAGTAGAGGGTGATACAAGTTAAACAGTCACTGTTGGACATTATACCATGGACTGGACAATATCAAATCCATGATTGTACATAGCTTTTGTTTCAGCATGGGGCAATAGTTTACTGCACCTTTTTGACTAATTGTAGTGTAATGTGTACTTTGTACAGTAAAACCTGTCAAATCTGAATGCCACTCAAACCAGTAAAAAGTGTTTGAATTCACAGGTGTTCACAGTCCAATGTTTTGAATATGTGAATCAAAGGGATTGAGAGATTTAGGAGGTGCTCATATTATAGAGGTGTTCAGATATAAAGGTTTTACTGAATTGTCATGTATATTGGTACCCTTTTCTCCATGCCCTTTGCATTGTAATTACAGTACAAACGCATGTTCCTTTTACCCTTGCTTCATTAAGCTTCCTTTCTGCAATAGGTTTAGAAAAAATGATTTTTAAACCCCAAACTGTTAGAAAGCTATCAGTGAGTTTCCGCTAAGATAATCTTGCAACCGACAAATCCCATTATCAAAATAATGAGTACACTTTCATGTATTTTTGTATATGTATACATGTACATGTAGGTGTATTTATAAAAGAATAAAGACACATATAAATTTTATGAAATGTTCTTTTTAATGAAATGATATCCTATAACGCAGGTTTGCAATACCAAATCAGTATACTATTGAAATACTGATATATCTGCCTTAATGCAATATGAATTAATTGTAGGCGCTGATGCAAACAGTACAAGTGGAACAGGTAGAGGGTGATGCTGTAAGTGACTTGGCAACAGACATACGACAGAGTACAGGTGACACTAGGCCAACCAATTATGCCACGCAGCTCGTCACACGTTATCAGGCTCTCAGTAACACATGCAATGTAAGTTATTTTTCAATGTGGGTGAAACCTTTTACTTTGTACCTCTTTTTTTTTTGGGGGGGGGGGGAGCTTTATTCTTATTTCAACCTCATCCCCATTGTATATGAACCAGTGAGATAGTTCCCTGCTTCAAATATAATATTATTTTCTAGGATGTGTGCAGAAAATGTGAAACAGCTGTGAATGAGCACCAGCTGTACACAGAGAACTACAGCAGATGTAACAGCTGGCTAGAGGGCTTACAAGAGAGACTTTCAGAGTGTCAAGATACTGGATGTACGAGAAAGCAACTCTTGGCTCACCAGACAACTTTGCAAGTAAGTAATGGATGATCCAATGTTCATGTGTGCATGATCTAATCATGGGTTTTCATGCTTTAGAATTCTATGTTAAATTGTATGATATTTGTAGGGAAAGCATACATTTGATATTTTAATGGCATATAACCAATATAGGCTAAAAGTTGATAAAAATATTTTTGATATAATCAAATCCTACCACTCTTAACATCTTTATATCAGTCTAAAATTATGTTAACAAATATATATGTGTCTCCAGGAGCTTGTTGATGAGAGGGAAGGTGGTCTCAACAAACTGAATCAGACAACAGAATCAGGAGAACAGCTCTACCCTAACACAGCCTCTGAAGGCAGAGAGGTCATACGTCATGAGTTACGCTCCCTCCGTGTTGCCTGGGAAGCATTTTGCGATGGCCTCACATCAGCTCAAAGGAAAACAGAGGTAGCCACTATACAATGGTCGTCTGCTGATGATAATTTGCAGCAGACAGAGAAATGGTTACAGTCAATGATGATTAAAACGAGTGAGGAGTTCACATTAAAGGCAACGTTGGAGGAGAAAAAGATGCAGCTACAAGCCTACAAGTCTCTACAACAGGATATTTCTGCTCACAAGAGGGCGCTGGATACTACATCAGATAAAGTGCAGTCTATTCTACAGACCTCACCTGATCCCATAGTGACAGAAAGGCTGGAGGCCAGTAAAAGAAACTATGATGAAATACTTGCATCTTGTCAGGTGAGAGCAATCAGACGTGTTATTTGGGGACTTGAATCATATCTTTAATTATCACTGAAGGTACCTCAGTACTTCAATGATCAATTTCAAATCTGCAAGTTGAAGAAACATAATTAACATGCAATTCTAAAGAACACACAATATCAATATTAAATGCCACATTTTCTAGGGTTCTGTCGGAAGATGCAACAAGATCGTTGCAGCACATGAGCAGTATACCGATCTATATAACAACTGTCAGGATTGGTTTAAAGCCATGAAGGAGCGTGTCGTTTTGTGTGATGACATCACAGGCGATAAACTAGCCATTCAGAGTCGACTTGATCGAGTGCAGGTAATTATTTTAACAACCTAGTAGTTTTAAAAACGAATGTAAATGTACAAGATTATACAACTATTGTTGGAGTAAAGGGGAATGGAGTTTGCAACACTGCAATAAAAAATATGTATAGCATGTAACATATTTTGAAGCATGTCACTTCTCGTAGCATGTAATTCCTCACATTTTAGGCTTTTATTTTAACACTTTAACAGTTGCATGGTTTAGGTTAAATAACAAAATATTTTTTTTCATTTTTGTTTGTTTTTTACTAAAATTTATTATAGATGTTGCACTTTAAAAAAACATTGAACAAAATCACTGATATTTTTGCTTCCCTCACTTGGACATTGGTATTCACATTTTCACATTGGTATTCACATTTTCACATGTTGTATTTATATTTATCACAGCGTCGTTGCGTAAGTCTCTCATGCACACAGCACTTATAGTTCACTCTCCTTGCGAGTTTCACTTTGAGCACTATGTGACGCTTAAAGAATAAGAGACACCATCTTATGTTTCACGCTTGCTTCAATTCACAGTTGAATTAATCAATATGCACCCAGGTCATTGTTGACAGAAGTTTGAAATATTTCAATACTAACAACATTTTACCCATGCATGTATTATCAGAGTATTTTTACCATAAGAGTGAACTCAAAAATGTGTTCCAGCGTAACACAACGTTTGTGCCACCAAATATACCAGTTTACATGTATACACACTGAAATGATTGAATTGCACTGCAAAGCTGCTTTTACTTTTAAAATCTTGATATTGCTGATAGTGACAGTACTTGCTTTCTTTGAATTTGTCGTCTTCATATCTTTTCTATGGCACACTCATAAGTTAACATCTACACTATGCTATGTCTTTGAATGCTTCATTAATAATATTTGATTTTTATATCAGCATAGACCATAACAATGTTAGATTAAAAATATATTTCTTTTAGATGGATTATGAAAAGGCATAAATTTTTGATTGGAACTAACCCATCTGTGTGATACTTCCTTATAAGTCTAACTGTAAAATCTAGCGGAATTTTAGTTTAACATTTAGGTTATTTAGTTATTAATGTTTTAGCTGATCTTGAAATGATCTAGATTTACTTATAGATGTTTATTTACACATTTGCTATATTAAGTTACTTTTAATAAACTACACAGACTAACATATTTCATATAACAAGTATATAAGTTCTCTTTTGTAAAATTATCTCAATTTGTAGGATCTGGAAAATGTAAAAACAGAAGGAGACGCAAAAATCGAAAATATATGCAAGTCAGCAGATGATGTCATAGTAGATACAGCTTCCCGGGGGCAGCAGCTCATCCAATCAGAAGTTGCGAGGTTGCGTCAGGTTTGGGTTGACTATTTAGACAATCTTAGCGAGGTTAGAGCCAAGCTAGAAAAGTGTGCCAGTCAGTGGGAATCATGGGAAGATAGGCAGGACTCCTGTACTGCATGGTTGAGATCCCAGGAGGCTATGGTGCGTGACATTCAACCACAGTCAACATTGGCAGAGAAGGCGGCCCAGGCTGAACGTATCAATGTAAGCACGCATAAAACAAATGTACATTACATTGTATTCACCATATTTTATGAATTATTTTAATGTAATTTGAAACGTGTGCATAAAGCTCCTAAATATTTAAATGAGGTGTTCTTACTTTCCCATACTCACATACTATTGAATTGCCAGTTGCCTTATCAATTGTTGACTTATCCAGACTGAGTATGACTGTTAGTATTATATGCTGACACCAAACTGAGACCACGGGTCAAGGTTTACAGTAGAGGGGTGCAATTTTGAAAGTCATTTTAATCAAGAAGTCTATAGTTATTTTGCTAATTTTGAGTTTAATGTGAAGTAAGGCTAACTTGATTCATCAACTAATTTGAACACTCATATTCATCAGATTCTGTCGTAATATTCATTGCTATGATGGCATAATCTGACATCATCCTAAAACATTAAACAAGTCATTAGCCAAAACTATTGACCTCTCATTGGCCAATTGGGATGTAATATTTTTAAATATTTATTTTCAGACTGCATTAAGAGAGATGATAGCATATGGTTCAGAGATTGACTCCATGAGTGAGAATGGGCAGAGTCTTTCAGCAAACACGTCTAACACCAGAGTAGCAAACCTTGCCTCACAGATAACTGCCAGGTAAAAGACAAAGATCTATGATGCATAGTAGTGAATGGATTATATTTGTGAATATTAACAGAATGTATACCATTGGTTTATTTCATCACATCTTTGATGAATATGAAGCACATATAAAAACAAACATCATCCAATTCCTGTAAAGTTTAAATAAAACACTTCATTCCCCAAACACAGTAAAACACTTGATTTTCCCATTTATAGATACCATGCACTAGTCAGTAGCTGTAAGGAACAGTGTAGGAAACAAGAACATGCTGTGAGTGAACACGAGGGCTATGGACGACTATGTGAGGCTATGCAGCAGAGCCTAGATGACCTGGAGGCCAAACTGAGCAACAATACATCCACACAAGGGGACAGACCTGCCGTACTTGCAAGATTGCAGACTGTCCAGGTATGGAGAGACTTGGAACTCATTTTCTGTACAATAAAAGTCTCATTGTTTCTTTCATTGAAGTGTTTTAATTTGCTTTTAAAGATTCCAAACATTTTGTTATGTATTCATTTTAGAACTTACTGTCCTACAATGAAGAAGGAAATCGTAAACTTGAAACCATTCGTGAGAAGTTACAAAGTGTTTTGGTGAACACTAGCCCATCTGGAAAAGACACCTTAAGACAGGAGGCTTATACCTTACAACAAACTCTCGACGATCTCATGAAATCCATCCAAGATGGCATAGATAATCTCCAGACATGTTTGAGCCAATGGGGTGCTTATTCTGATGTGTCGAATAAAACAGAAACCTGGTTGGCTGACATTGAGAGTCAGGTTGCCATGGAAACAGGAAGTCAAATGACCCTTGTTGAAAAACAAGATCAACTGGAAAGGATCAAGGTATGGTTTTACACTTAAACTTTAGCCTGCCCTGAGGTAGGGTCTGAAAACTTCATAATTTTGCCATATAATATAACCATTTGAGTTTTAAAAACAGCTTTTTATTTTAAAAGTTGATATTATTTGATTTAGGTTACTCCATTTTGCTCAGTATATCAAACTAAAATCTTTATGACTTATATTTTCACACAGTGCACAATTTATTTAGAATGAATTTACTGACCTCTTAAGGACTTGTATATTCCCATATGTTTCTAGACTTTGAAGCTGACCCTACTGGGAGAGAAAGGTTTGGTAGACAAACTGAGGGAGAAATCCTCTGAGCTGCAGACACAGAACAGTGACCCTCACCTTGCCAGAGAGACTGATCTCGTTGTTGACAGATATCACAAGGCTCTTGATAAAGTAGAGGTATGGTATCTAGATATCTTATATACATACATTTAAAAAGGAATAATGTAGAGACACTCTGTATTGCACAAGAAATTGAATTTTTATAAAATCAATGCGCTTGTTCTTACAAAGAGGAGTGATGCGTCTAATTCAGACTTCTTTTCTATCTGAAATATCCTGACGTGAATTCAACTGGAAATATATTTTTGATCTCACCATCTCTATTCCAGGACTTACTGAGGGAATGTGACAATGCAGTGTCAGACCACATCATCTACCAAGAGGCCCTGGACAATGCCACAGAATGGATAGAGTCAACTAGGGAGAAACTGACCCCACTGAGTAGCCTGGAGGGGGATAGGCACACCACGCAGGCTAAATTACTCAAGGTGAATTTTGGGATATTTTACAGAATGAGGCAGAAATTATATACAGGGTGTTCCCTATATTCCCACTCGTTTATGCAGATGACTAGGACATTATTGTAAACATTATTCAAAGTTTTTATCTTCATGAATATTTGGTAGATGTACTTTTATTTTTATTAACATATCTGGTTAAAACTTAATTTGATAACATTCAAAACATTTAATGATGAATGATGTATTATTGTAATGGAATATAAACCTATAATATCATTTTTACCATAATTTTCAAACTCTTTAGGTAAATGAGTTAATGTCCATCAAGTCAGCAGGTGAACAGAAGGTTACAACTCTAGTAGAGAAGGCTGAAGTCGTCTATCCAAGCACATCTCCTAAAGGAGTCAAGGAGATCAGGACTGCTGTGCAAACAGTCAGGAGCAATATGGAGAATTTGTTCCAGGAAATGCATGATCTGAATATTAGCCTAGGTTAGTTTTTATTATTCATTTTTTTATTCTTTTGTTTTCATCAATCTTTGGGTTATATCATATTTTCCTCATAAGTTAAGTGATAAACTTGATTTAAAGAGTTCAAAATTAAAAAGTCAACAGAATTGAAAAACAGATATTGAAAAGCTGAAAATTATTTTACATAAGACTTGAAATGCCTCATGCTCACTTATACACCTCATTTGATTATTATAAGAATTCATTTTCCTTTCAGAATCTCTGGCTGAAAAATGGCACCAATATGAGGTGAAATATGACACTCTAAGTTCATGGGTCAAGGACACTGAAAACTCACTGAAAGCAGATGGCGATCTCAAAGACTCCTTAGAAGAGAAACAAACCATTTTAGAGAAGCATATGGCTCGGCATGAAACCATCATAGCTCATCAAACAGAGCTAGATGCTCTTAGTGAACAAGGTCAAAGTTTGTTGGAAATGTGTGACAGTGTTGTAAGCTCCCAATTGACTCAGCTTAGTTCCCGATATGTGTCACTTTTGACTCTGTCGAAGGATATGTTGAAGCGCTATGAGCAGAATGTACAGGATCACCAACAGTACACTGACTACTACAATAAGTTCACTTCATGGTATCAGGATATTGAAGGCCACTTAGATATTTGTATGGATACGTCAGGAGATGAGAGCACAATGCAAGGTCAACTAGAACGCTTAAAGGTTAGTTGCGCTACTTTTAATTTTTTCCAACTCAGATTGAAATAATGAGATATAATTGCTGAGATGAAAAATAATGAAAATATTGATATGCTTCATTTGTTACCCATAATGCATTAGTAAAAGTAGACGAAGTGACTGTAAATAAATGAAAATATTATTTCTCCAAATAGGATATTTCTGTACAAAAAGAGGATGGTCAAAACCTGCTCCATACCATGCAGACATGGGGAGAGAAAACTCTGACAAATTCATCGCTCTCTGGGCGAGACACCATCCGCCAAAATCTTCAGAAAACTCACCAAGATTATGAAACATTGACAAAACGACTCGCAGATACCAAAGTCACACTAGAAAGCTGCCTTCTGGAGTGGTCAGATTATGGCGACCGCACAGATCAGGTGAGAATGAGTGTATTTCACATTCAATCTCAAAAATTTGGAACTTTTCATGCTGCTTACTAACTTATTTGTGAACATTGATTTTGAGGAAAATAAAGAAAACACTGAAGACCATCTATGGTGTCACAGAAATTTGCACTACAATTTTTGCAAATTTTAAGAGTCTGCCTCTTTAAATTACCTAAAATGAAAAAATATTTTTAATTGATAGTAAAGATTTTTATGCAAAAGATGAAACTTTCCACTCAAGAAACCTAAAAACAATAGATCGGTCAGTCAAGAATAATCCATCAAATTCAAAGATTGTTTTTGGATATTTCAGGTTGAGAGATGGTTGAAAGAAACAGAAGCAAAACTAAAGGACTCTGAACTGAAGTCAGAACTTGCTGAGAAGAAAGCTCAGCTACAGAGACTCAAGGTAACCATGGTGATGCAATGTCATACTTATCTTATTTTTGTTTTATTTCATTTCAAAAGTCCAGGCATACTACATACGGAGTGGAATAATCCCCATTAGGGACAATATGCCTATAACTTGAACAAATAAATTCCTTTAAATCTTCAACCCTTCCCCCAGCCACTACCTAAACTTCCCATTTGAAACATAATGAATGAATGTGCAAGAAAATATTTATACACATGTAAGTTTCATCTGAAGTATCTTGATGGCTGAATTGTCTTCATGAACTAACATCTCTAATATTAACTTCTTTATCTAAAAAAAGGAAAAATTTACTGAAAAGAAATCCTGAATAAAGTATAAATGTATTTCGGTTCTTGTATGTGTTATATGTCTAAAAAAAATTTTTCAGAACCTAAATCAAGATATCACCTCCTACTCCCATATAATTGATACTCTCACTGACTCCGCCCATGGATTAGCCGTTCGCAGCCCTCGCAGTAATGTAACCACGGAGTCAATAGAAATCTCTAACAAGTATCAGCTTTTGGTTAAAATGGCTGCTGCTGAGGTTGATAAGAATGGAGGTATTGTGAAAGACCACCAGGGGTTCAACGAAGCTGTGTCAGGGTTTAACACATGGATCAGAGTCTCCAGGGAAAGACTACAAGCATCTATAGACACATACGGTGACAGAGACACCATCAAAGCTAACTTTGAGCACCTCAAGGTAGGAAAATCATCTGTCTTGGAGGTTCTATTAAACATTTGCTTGTTACATGCATCATGCTTCTTCAAAAAACAATGCACACTCGAATGTTATTTCACTATGTCTAGTATTTTCTAACTCAGTACTTATGTTTTATTACGTAACACCCATGATTGTCTTATTTTAGGAGTTAGAGGCAGAAGTATCTGAAGGCAGGCAGAAACTTGACCATGCTTCTGAACAAGCTGATGCTACTCTCCCTAACACAGCTGACTCAGGGCTGGCACGTATCAACACTGACATAAAGGTCATCACAAGTGACTTTGGTGTCTACATTGAGGAGATCAGACAAGGGAAACTGGTGTTAGAACTATGTTTGGGACGCTGGGAGGACTTTGATTCCCTGAAAGAGGACTTTAGTTCCTGGATGAAAGCCACCCAGCAGTTCCTAAAAGGGGAGCTTAGTGTGGAGACCTCTTTGCAGGAGAAGAGGGACCAACTCCTCAAATATCAGGTAAAGTTATACCCTGAGTCTAGATCTGCTAGCCACACTGGCCTCTGAGTTTAACCAATGATTTTACTATTTTGATCTTAGTGATCTCAAATGATTCTTAAATTGCCTTTTTGGAATTTTTGTAGTTTTGACTTAAAATGAAAAATATATTCTGACAACAAAAACCAATATAATTAATCTGATAAAAACATTAACATTTTGACATTGTTCAATATAAGTGTATATTTATTACAGACCAAGCATGAAGAGATCCTTAAGAAACAGGGTGACCTGGACAATATAAGTGGTAAAGCCCAGGGTCTTCTACAGACCTCCCATACCATCACACAGCTGACCACCAACTACCAGGCCCTCATTTCAATGTCTAAGGTAAGACATCACTGTACTTTATACAACCTTTATCATTAAATAGGTGTTTCATTTACAGGCATTACTATACTATACTATAGTCAGGTATTTAAATTTATATGTGTTGCTCATTTACAGGAGATTTTACGGAAGCTTGAGAGTTACTATGGTGACCATGACAAGTATGATATGCATCAGAAGGAGTTCATTACATGGAGTGAAACCACAAAACTTAATTTGTTGACGTTACAAGATGGAGTTGCATCCAAAGATGATGTGGGCACCAAGCTTGCCAAGCTTCAGGTAAACCTTGAAATTTCATGGTATTATTTTATCCCATAATGCAACAAATATAGCAGACGTTATTGCAAACAGATGTAACAAAAATTGTTGTCCATGTATATTTATTTTCATGAAATGCAGAGATATAACAGATCTTAATTATTAGTACTGTGTATGTTAAAATGATTACAGGCCATGCAGTCCAGTTTGGACATAGGGCAAGGTAAACTGCGCACACTGACAGATGCTGGTGAGCGTACAGTACCAAACACCAATGCCCAGGGGACTGAAATCATACATACCCAGATAGCTGAGTGTAAATCAGACTATGACAAGCTGAAATCGAGCCATGCCAAGATGAACGTTGAGCTGGAGCAGAGTTTGAACAAATGGGCAGACTTTGATCGTGCATATGAGCAGATTGATATGTGGTTGAAGGAGACACATGTGAAGATTAATTCACAACTTGACCTGAAGGCCGATCTCCCAGAGAAAAAAGCCCTACTTGAAAAAATCAAGGTAAGCACCGTTGGTTATGGATGTCCCGAATTTATCCCATTGATTTTGTTATATTTTAGGCTGAAATAGTTTACCTTTAAAAATTGTCCTTACATTGGTGACGAAAATATGAATGATAGTTAGATCTTTGTTATTCCATTTCTAGTACATGGAATGCGACATCAAGGGGCACAAAGCTGCCATAGAGACTATGAAAGATAAGGGTGGTGCCCTACATCAAGCTCGTTGTGACACCATGGTCCAAAGTGCGACAGAGTCATATTCAACCCTATGTGATAAGGTACATTTTACTTCCATCTTATTTGTATTCATTTCTAGGTTTATGAAATTTTGGATTTTCATATTTTTTGAGAGCAACACAAAAAGCGTAACAAACCTGACTTTATCTTTTGTCCTGACTCTGACCTAGCATTTATATGTTCTTCAGGTTGAAGAAATGGTTCAACGTCAACAGGAAATCGTGGAGGATCATGGGAAATATAGGGAGAGTGTCACGACGTGCATTGAGTGGATACAACTTGGGAAGCAACAACTTCATATTCTGAATAATACGAGAGGCGATAAAGATAATTTGTCTGATAATCAACGTAAACTCAATGTAAGTAATTGCAACTTACTTGTTGTTGGCATGAACGTGAGTTAATATCATCGAAATATGATTGATGTAACCAAATGCATAGTTTCATCTTTCTAATGCACTTGGAAGTGTTACAGTTTGACACCCCTATCATTTTAAGTTTTTTGAAGCTATTTTTTTTTTCATGCACTTGCACATTTCTTTAGCGGGATACTCAAATGATTTTGTGCTTTATTTTCAGGCATTTGCCAGCACAGTTGAGGAGGCAAAACCAAAGCTAGACAATGTGGTTAAGTTATCAGAAACTGTCATGTTGAATACATCTCTGAGAGGCAAGGACCAGATACACACTGATGTACAATCATTGCAGGTGAGAGCATACCAAATATGTTATCAAAAGAATGTTTCAGGGAAGAAATTGAGGGAGGGGGTCTGATCCTTTATTATATTATTTCAGGCAAAAGACATTGACATTTTAATCTCACCAATTAGTTTCCAATTCTCAGAGATTTATTTTGATTTGATAAGAGGTTTTCTGTCTTTATCATTTTGATATTTATACAGACGTCTGCTATGCCTAATGCATTATGGGTAATACATGTCAACCATTTTATTCAAGGATGAATGGAATAAGCTAGAAGAGAATATATCTGCTGGTAAGGAATCTCTAGGCAATGCCCTGGATCATTGGCAACAATATGAGGATGACTTGGACAGTGTCACGTCATGGATTGATGAGACGGAGAATAGATTGAAGATGGAAGCTGAGCTGAAGATTGATCTGTTAGACACAGCAGGACAGCTATCTAAGGCAGAGGTAAGATACAAATATTGATATTTTGTGAATTTCAAGGTGGTGACCAACCGTGCGAAAAACTTCCTATATCATTTCCTTGAATCAAATCATTTTATTTTTCATCCTAACATAATGCTTGATACCACACGAGTTAAGAACTTATCTGTATCGCAATTTAACTCATTTCAACTATGTAGCTTTCCTGTGTTGCAACTTGAGGTGGGGATGAGTCATAAATTGAATTTGTAATAATCCCTAAATATGTTTACATGGTTTATATTTATTCTGTAGGCTGAGCACAGTCTTATAGAAGAGAACAAGCGTTCAGTGGACCAGTTGCTAGAGAGATCCAACATTGTACTACAACATCATGCTGAGCCTAAGGTCTCCACTACTGTTGTAGAACAATCTACCAGATACCAGGCCCTATTGGCTGCATCTAAGGTAGGTAGATGTGTCATTGAGACACACAGATGTGTCTTGGAGACACACTGAATGTTTACTGTCTTCTGATGTTGTATTATATTATATCTTAAAATGTTACAGGGTTACCACAGTCAGGGAAAAGTGGGGGAAACCAAAATGAGTTTTCTCAAAAATTGTTGAATAATGAGGAATTTAACATTCTTAGAAAAGTCAGGAAAATTTAAAAAGTTGAAAATTAGACCACAAATTGTAAACAATGAAAGGAAGTAACATCTCTAGAAATACATATTTGGTCAGGGAATATTGAATTCTGTTGCAACCCTGCATGAGTTTAATTTTTATTACACTTTCCCTTGAAACTATTATACCTTTCTGCAAATAAAGAAATGTTAACTCTATTTAGTGATTAGAATTTTTTTAATAGATTCTTTTAGTTACCTCCAAACTGTTCATAGACTACTTCTCCCTCTTCTTAATTTAGTAGATATTTCTTCATATATCTAGAAAATACATGAGGGTTATGTTATGGGAGGTTTTGGATATACCCCATATCCAAAACCGAGCATCACATAACTAATTTATCCTATGACAAGTGACTTTTATCTATGAGACATTGATTATTCCCTCAACTGGTTTTCATTACTTTCAAGAAATTCTTCGACCTTTTGGTCAAGAAAATATCTACCGCCATCTGCTTCATTTTGGTAGTTTTGCTATAGCGAGATATTCTAACGAATTTTGACTGTTTCTACACCGAGCGAAAACGTTTTCCCGGGAATACTGGTGCGGGAGATATACAGCGGGAGATATACAGCGGGAGATATATATATGTCCCGCTCCTCCAAGATATTGATTTTATATCCCGCTGTTATGTACCTGAAACCTCACTTGTCATAGGATAAAAAACAATATCTTTGTAGAAGTTGGATGCAATATTATTTTAATTCCATTATGTTCACTTGCTTATTTTAGGATGACCTTGAAGTAAGTTATATTATTGCATATGTGCATGTTTCGTAATGATGATTACTGTATTACATGTACATGTATCTTCAAACCGTTCCTGTCTATTTCTGCAATATTGGAATGGCTTAGTACATGCAATCATATCTTATATGTGCAGTCCAGGCATTTATTGAATCATGTACTGTAAAACCTGTTAAAGTGGAACACCTTTGGTTCCTCTAAAAAGTGTTCCACTTGGGAGGTGTTCCACTTACAGAAGTTCATTTAACAATAAGTCAGTTGGTCTTCGGACTCTGAAAAGTGTTCCACTAACAGAGGTGTTCCACTAATAGAGTTGTTCCACTTTAAAGGTTTCACTGTATTAAATATGCAGTCTTGTCTTAAATATGCAATCATGGACACAATATGATTCACCAGTGCTTTACAATGATTTCCATATGTACATTTAGTAATCCTATTAATATGATACATAACATCTAAAAGTAGCAAATGTTTCTGAAACAGCATATGAAGCAATGGTAGACAATACACATTCTTGGAAATGGATGATTACCATAAAATACATGTATTGTCCACCATCAGCCATTGCTTTCAATAGGTATATCACCTCACTAACATTACATACTAGCGATAATATTCTTGGTGTTGGCTGATAAATTATATATGGAACATAGTCAAATGTTATGGCATATAGTTACTCAAAACATTTTTAAAATGGACCAAGGCTAAAGAAATGCATGTTATGTGCTTATACTACAAAAAAAATATAAACACTGATAGAGCTAAATTGGGTTGAGAATGGATCATATCCGGTATTTTGGGACATGTTTCACAACATGAATGCATTAAAATGGTGTTGTATGGGTGAACTTCATGGTAATTTGCTCATGTTCGCTTTGGGTAGTTGCATGGAATTAATTTCTAGGACCAACAAAAGGAAATAACTAAATAACTGATGTTTTTAGAAATGGGACATAACTAAATAACTGATGTTTTTTTAGAAATGGGACATAGATTTAAGGTTTTATACCGTAGAAGCGGGTGTAGAACTAAGGTTTTAATGTCGGTATTGACTTTATTTGTGCAAGTTGGGTAATAAGGATTTGTTTTACTTATGATTAACATGCAAAATTAGCATATACAACCCATATTTTATATATGTTCTTGCTATTATTAGTTGGTAGTTAATAGTTTTTAATACTTATAGTCTATTAACAGATTATGATTTAATTTAATTTTTTTTGTGGAAATTTTGTTTGATATATTCTATGTTCTTCCAGCGCACAAAATCTAGATTCTCTCAGTTCCAAAAGGACCATGATGCATTTGAAAAGGCGCGTTTAGACTGTCGCGAATGGCTGGATTCAACCAATCAGAAGCTGTCGCTATGTAATGATATGAGTGGAGACTGGCATGCAATTGAAGGACGTATCAAGAAAGTCAGGGTAAGTCAGAGGATTATGATCGCTTCAAATGTGGGAGATTTAACCATTAAGAACATTTAGGCAATCATTCTTTTGCTTGGAGAACGTCTCAAATATTGCCGCAGTTCTGAATAAAAATTAATTCCTTCTACATCATGAATGACATAATGCTAACACATAATCTCTTATATCAATACCAGTTATGCAAGTTCTATGATGACAATGCAATATATATTACGCATATGATAAGGAGATAATAATCTACTAACTACTTTAATTGCAGGCTCTCCACGGCACACAAGATGAAGGTCTTCAGAAGCTTAATAAAGTCTGCGAATGCCTTGAGAAAGTAATTGAGAAAACCCAGCCTTCTGGACAACAACTTCTAAATGAACAGTCGAGCCAGTTGAAACGTGATTGGGATCAGTTAAATAAACAGCTTAATTTGTGTAGTACCACCCTCGAGGGGATGTCCAATAAATGGAACAGCTTCGAGCAGAGTTATGGCACATTTGTGAAATGGTTAGCTGATGTGGAAAACTTGGTTGCCATGGAAATGGACCCAAAAGCTGAGTTGGTTGAAAAGCAAACCCAGTTAGAGAGATATAAGGTAAGATAATATACTCTCATAAGATATCTGACATTTTATGTAGTTCAAGCAACCATTTTACTATTTTGTATATGTGAAACCCTCAAAACTCAAAACTATTCATCTTTACTCAACTTAAACTTAACATTTCAGAAAGTCTATGAAGAAATGCTTGAGCACCAGGGAGTCCTTGATGACCTTGAGGAGCAGGCCAAGGACTTGAGTAGCACCAGTGGGTCTGACCAGGCTAACCAATCAGTGGCAGGGGTCAAGACAAAATATAACAACATTAAGACACAAGTACAGGTAGGTTTAATGTCACATATCAGAATTAAGAGTTACAAAAGGTTGTCATGTTTTGAAATTAAAAATGAGGCAAAAATGGATGGATATATCAAAACACAGTAAACAAGTATGCTATTGACTCTTAAATTCTTAATTGTATAGACATGCGTAAAATCTGATAGTTAATTGTTATTGAGAAAAGCATGATAGGTCTCTCAGAGAGAATTCAAATCATTAGTTATCAGTGGGTCTGACCAGGCTAGCCAATCAGTGGCAGGGGTCAAGACGAAATATAACAACATTAAGCCACAAGTACAAGTGGGTTTTATGTTACATATCTGAATTGTTATAAGTTACAAAAGGTTTTGAAATCAAAAATGTAGATGGATATATCAAAAAATAAAGTAAACAAGCATGTCATTGACTCTTAAATTCTTAATTGTATAGAAATGCATAATATAAAATCTGGGTTTTTATTGGCTCAGGAATTGTACTTGAAGCAGGGATTTCTACTTATCCTGTATTCATTGTACCATGAAAATTATTTTTTGTTCATTGTTTTTCACTAGGGTTGTGTTAGTTCTTTGGGGGCTGCCCATACATGCCACCAGACGTATCAGGAGGCCCTCCAAGATTGCGAGAAAATAGTCCTCCAGATGTCTCTGAAGCTGATGGCCCACAATTCCCTCAACGTCACTACAATTGAATTGACAAAAGAACAGATTGGCAAACACAATGTAAGTTTGATTTATATTTATGTGAATAGATTTTTTTTAATTTCACTATTCAAGTCATTTCCTTAGTGAGAGTTTAGCTTATAGGTTTACCTTCCTTTGACTGTCTTCACAAATATATGTCTTGACATACATAATATTTTCAAGGATTTTTAATGCTGCAAAAATAACTATTGAAAATTACTGCTTACACTACATAATTTGACTATATTGCTGATAACTTTTTATTCTCCTTACAGGGTTTGATTAGTGAGATAACAGAATTCCAAATGAGACTAACAGATGTCAGTGCAAAAGGAAATGAGCTTTTAAAGGCTCACGCTCGACATCCACAGCTTACTTCCCAGATTCAAAGCCAGCTTGGCAACCTAGAAGACAGCTACCTTAGCTTACAAGCCACAGCTGAACAAATCAAGGTATCAATATTTCTCACAATTAAGTTCCTTTAATTATCATTTTTGTGCATTTTTAATCAGTGCATTATGCCGCATAATAAGTTATGTGCACAGCTTATGTTTCTAAGGTTTCAGTAGTTTTCATAAGAAGAAATAAACAAAAAGATATTTTGTAGATTTTTTTTCAAAGTTTTGAATTTTTTGAAATTGTAATTGATTGGATGAACTTGTCTGTATGTTTCTGGTTGATTCACTGCTTTTGGTAATACTGTTAACTGGCATGTTTCCTTGAAGGTCAACTTTTCATTGAATTTCCCATAACAAGATCATAAGCATATTAATAAACACCATAGTTATCCTTCGTCAAGGTCCTTATCAAAGCCTGATATCACGCCTACTGATGCTGATATATAATTGCCATGCCAACCACTAATATACTATCCCGTTGCCATGCCAACTAACTATACGCTCTTGTTGCTAGGTGAGACTGGACCACCTTGATCTCTTGTTCTTTTAAGCTGTGGTTGTAAGTCCCCTCTGACACTAACCTTAAGTGTCCGTGTTACACTTTTGTCTCACAATTCATGCCTATTAAATGTATTACACGTACAAGAATACACTTCTGGCACCCACCTTGAAAAATTGGACATTTATTATTTAGAAAGATGGACATTTAACTGATGAGACATTGAAAATAATCAAAAAACTACTGAGTTATCTACTCGTGTAAACATGGACTCTGTCTGAGAAATAAGGAAAGATGAAAATGTTTTTCACACTTATGGCTAGAAATCCAGAAATACACAAATGTACAAATTATAATTGTTGACATTATTGTCATAGAAAATTTTGAAAGTCTGCTAAAAACTGAATCTGTTAAGTTCAGTTGAATATGAATTGATTCACAATACAAATATATTAGCCATACCAACTAGACATATTTAGTATTACATAGCTCAAAAAGATTATATAGACATGTATATAGTACATTATTATTTTATGCAATAAAAAATAAATAAGTAAAGTTCGATAGTTATTTTACAATGTGTTATTTAAACTTCACATGGAGGAAGCTTAGTAACCCAATTTTCATAATAATACCACATCAGGCAATAAAATGGATGATTACATAATTGACAATCTAAAACATCAAGGTGGGCATATACTGCACAATTATCATATTTTATCAGAGTTTGTAATTGTCTCAATTTTAATAACCATCCCATGTGCACATTTTTTCATATGCACATTGAATTTTGTGTGAAACAGATTTTTTGCAGTTTGTTTTTATTGGATTTCTCTATGTTTACATATTTTAAAATAGCATGTTATTATTTTACAATCATATTGTAATATTAAATTGTATAATCAAAAGTATCATATAATGTGGATGCATAACAATTTTGCTTTTGGTTTTTAATGTATGGATATCGCAATAATATATTAATCAGTTGCTGATTGTGACATATGTTTGGATGAATAATGATTGGATAACCCAGTTATTACTTTAAAATTATGCAGTTGTTTTGTTTATAGATTGAATACCAAATCTTTTTTGTTTAATTAATTTGGGTGTGCTGTTTTTAAAAGTGTTAATCATTTATTCTTTGATAATTCTTTATTCAAATAATTCAACTCATATGTTTATACAAAAATGTAGAAAGCAATGTAAATAAAAAAACAATGTAAATCTAGAAATGCGTCCATCAAAGTTACCAGAAGAGTTTATCAACAGCTAAAACTACAGATACTCAATCAGTTTATTCAGTTTTCACAATGTCATAATTGATTGGATGATTTGTCTCCAGGAGCGTCTAGCTGAGATCTTAGAAAGATGGGAAGAGTATAAAGCGACCGTACAGGATTGCCAAGTTTACATGGAAGGCTCTTGGAGTACATGGGCTAGTACTATAGAACCCCTGGTCACCAACTCACTAGAACATTGTGAACAGCTACTGACCTCTGCTAATGTAAGTGAACTCTCCTGATTTCTTGATGGAAAATAATATAAACTGATAAAAGCTTGTACTTGGCATAGTTGTAGTTGTTCAGTTTACCATGGTGTTTGTCAATAAGACTTACAGGATGATTGTCATTTCCCAAGATGTTCAGGATTGGATTTACATTAACATGTCTAATCCACCTCTTAGACCAGCCAAAAGTGTTCAGTATAGCAGGTGTTCACATTTCAAGGTTTCATAATATGTAAAATAATGATAAAATTAGGACCAAGAAAGTGCCCACCTCGAAAGATGTTCAGATTAGAGAGGTGTTTGGATATACAGATTTCACTCTATATGTGACTATACTTGACGTTGTAGGAGATGTCAATTGAACTAGATGCCTACAAACAGAAGCTGAGCAGTCAACAACAGAGGTGTGCCAGTATGGGAAGCATAGAGAGCCTGGAACAACTGGACCTGAGCACAACCTCTGAGCTTACTACCCTTGCTGAACATACCAATGATCAACTATCAACTAGTATTGACAAGGTATTAATTCTATGATGGTTAAAATATTACTCTATGGACAGACTTAAGATAGACTCCTTCTAGTGATACCTTACATAAGCATGTGAGTTAAGATCTTATAACAAAGTCAATCAAATAATTCGAAAGCTGATATGAATAAGCCATACTGAAATAGCCATATGCAATCCTAAGCCCTACAGTATTAACTATCCACGATCCATCCAAATGTGGAATATAGGCCGTCTGCTTCTAACATTGCATTATGGGTAATATTCCAGGTGACTGAGGTGGTGAGCAAACTGAAGGAGTTACTGAAACAATGGCAGACAGTGGAGAAACAGAAGACACAACTCCATGAGTGGCTTAATGCTAGAGAGGCTGATCTTCAGGAATTTGAGTCCAAACCTGCCAAACTACACATGGATGCAGCTGAACATGAGCTCCAACAATTGAAAGACTCCCAACAAGATATTAAAGCCAAACAACCAAGTATAGAATCTCTGTTTGAGCAACATACTCAACTTACATCCCACACAGCTGAGATAGCAGATGCAGACATTGAAGAAATTCAAAATGGACATAAATCGGTTCTTGAAAGAATAGATAAGTTGATATCCTCAAGATCTGATTGGCTGTCTGAAATACTGGATTACCACACGCAGTTTAAAGATCTCAATGCAAATGTTGAAAAATTGGAAACTGACATTGAAAGAATTCATAACGATATAGATGTCACTGTTGCAGATCGTGCAGAAGAAATAAAGGTAGGTGGAGAGTTATTGAATACTTTAAGAATTGTAATATTATACATACGCTTATTAACAAAATTGCATGGTTCATTATTGCTTTCAGAGTTTTTTTCTGTTCCTATTTTGATTGGTTTTACAATGTCACTTTGACATCTTGAAGATTGATATAGTAGAATTATTTGATAATAGACACATTGTGCACTATTATACATTGTGGAAATGAGAATTATGTGATACATAATGCTCAACTTCATTTATGTTAATATCGTTGTAATATTATACACTGGTTTGTATTTCTCATTTGAAATGTTTTTCTCTGTTGTGTGTCCCATTTACATATTTGTCTTGCAGCTTTGCATTATCTAAAAGTGGAGACAATGCTGATTTGAGACACAATGGGGGAATACTGTTTTCAGGTTTTCTTCTATTTTTTTCAAGATGTTATTTTGAATGTTATTTTTAATGCTTACCAATATTTCAGTATGATATGTAATGCTTTTGAAGCAATGATTGGTTGAAGCAGTAAAAGATCAAATGTGACAAAAAGCAGATATGGTTAATACTTTTGCACTTTATTTATATTATGGGCAAATATTTCTGGGATAACTTTCATCTGTTGGTTCTGGCAGTCATTATGGGTGTCATATAAGAAGTATTTCCATGGTAACCATATTTTAGAAGGATTCAATAAATTTATCAGGAATGTAAAAGTTTTAAGATTTGATTGATTTTAAGTGTTCTTTAGTTATGGATAAGATATATAAGTATGCAGTGACTGTGATAAGTATGCTTTCACTTGAACCTTCCAAATGAAAATATTGGAAATACATTAAGTGTTTTATATTGATATATTCTTTGATGTATCTGTATGAATTATAAATTGCATGCCACATGCAATGCCAGGCAATCTAAGTTTTCCTATTATACATATTGATGAACAGATAGCAGTGTCTCTAATATAAAGCGTTATAAATGATATTCTCTTCAGTTATACTACAGTGTTTTGAAGATTAGAAATAGGTAGAAAAAGGTATGTTATATTTTGTCGTATTATCATTTGATATTATGTTTATAGTTTTATGTTTTGGTTTGGTTCATTTATATAATCATATGAACACACTTTCCAGAAATGATTATATTAAGAATTACAAGAACATGAAGTAAAATGTCATGTATCAACCATTTCTGGGCTAATCAAATAGAGTTGACACTTTCAACGATTTTGTTTTCTTATCGCCCATTTACAACATAGTTTCTATTTGAAATGTGAATGTTTATCCAATCCCACTTGATCTCATTAATTCAGCCTCTTATGTTTTATACTTGGACTTTAGACTCAGTTCATAAATAATGCTCCACTGTTTAATCCCAATGCTATCACTAATTCAGGTATTTTATAGTTAATGAGTATTGAAACCAAAAGTGGTCTCTAATATTCGAGCGATTTGTATAGCTGAGCAAATATCATATACTGTACAGTCAGTCACACCATTACAGTAATATGTGCTAATTGCAATAATATGAAGATGACATATTGTTATATTATAGACTCAACAAGTAAGTGACATAGAGGAAGATTGACATGTGGTGATGATTAGAAACACAACACTGCTAGTCTATAAGACTTCTACTATTCTGACAGATTCACAGTAGAATCACATTATACAAGACATCATACACATTCACCAAGGGTGAATCAAATCAATGGACATCTGAATTACAAGACATATTTCCAGTGTTTCGATGGATGATATTAAAATGTCAACAGTTCAGAATTCTGCATATAGAAATTCTGGATTACAAAGTGTGAACCCCAGAAATGATGCTTGCACAAGCACTGAGGACTGGCCAACACCAAGGATATCGAAATTCTCTAAAATTGTACGAGATCGCTCATACACTAGTCCCAGCCATGTGACTGATACTTCCCAGAATTCCTCACATTATCGGACAGAGTTGCACTCTGGGAAAGATATACTACTTCCATCTTCAGCAGCAACTCAGAAAGTTGAGGATATCAAAGAATGTCCAATTATTGATTTCATGGCTGAAAACAATCAGTCAGATAGAGCACCATTTGCAGCTGATGACAGAAGTTGTCCTGAACAATGGGATACAAAGATGAAGTCAAGTGGTGCAATGTCTGACATCTCGATTCAAGAATCAGTGGCTACTGATGATCTTAATACCCTGCAGGATATTGTGACTATTTTAAAGAACCATCAGATAGATATGACTGACACCTCTGATTTGTATGACTTCAATTGTTCACCAGACATATCAATGGATGCATCATCTCTTCATCCATTAACATCAACAAGAATGACAAATGAATCCAGAAGACCTCTTCTCAAAGGTATAAATGACAATACTTGGATTCCACATTTTAGGACTCCAGTAGAAGTAGATTCTGGAACGAATTCAGTGAAACAGAGATCCCCCTTAGGTGACACACAATCTAAGGGGTCTCTTTTGGGAGACACACATTCTAAGGTGTCTGTTTCAGGGGATACACTGTCCAGTGAAGCAAGAATAAGGGATAATCGTGAAACTATGTTTGCTATCATTGACACATTGGAACACAACGAAAGTGACAGATGTTCCCATTTGCACCAAGAACAGAACAATGAATCTAAACATACAAAACATGTTGATAATGTTGAACATGATGTTTGCATAAATGGGACGTATGATCCAGAAAATATATCTGAACACAGAAAGCATATTCTGAATAGAAAACAATATAGTTATGATATGAAAAGAGATGGAATGGATGGCCAATATAAGCATCTATTGAAAACATCATATAATGTTGTCTCGGAACATACAGATGCTAATGACTCTATCGAACAGTGTACAGGTGTGTCGTCTACAACTATGGGTACTCAAACAGTGAATCATACAGGTACACAGACTAAAACGAAATACTTTCAATCCTCATTGGATAATGTGACACTTGGACAAAATGAGCCTAATACTCGACCAGATGTTTGTGACAGCATGAGTCAAACAATCTGTGAGGCAGAAGTACAAACAGATGAACTTCTAACTCAGTTTGAATCATTGGGATCTCAATCATTAAATGAAAAATCAGAATGTTTGAGTACAGTCTCTGATACTTCAACTAAACATACCAAAAAATTTGAAAAGACAGCACCATTTGAAGGTGAAACTGAGAGTAAATCTTTGAAAGGACAAGATGATAATTGTTGTTCACATCGGCAACAGCATAATGCAAAGGTTACCAAAATGCATGAACATCTTGAATATAACACACTTGACTCAACTAAAAATTATTTTGGGGCACAAACATCTATGTCCACCCAAACACCAAATTTTGCCAGACGAGAAAGAAGGAAACTCAAAGCTGAAATGTTGAAATCTCTTTTGAAGCAAGTAAAAGAAATAAATGAAGATATTCAATATAGAACTGAAGCTAAAGGAAATATGTTTACCCATAATGTAAAGCAGCCAAGCAGGTGGCAAAACATGGAGACTGTTTCCAGGAGACTGGACTATGATACAGAAAATGTAACCAGCATTCCCTATTTTGGACATCACTCACAAAATTATTCAAATTACACAAATGGATTTGCTACTGACAATGCCCAAAAATATGATTCTCATGCTGACAATGTCCCTAGGTACTTGTTGGAAGACCATTCCAAAGCAAAACTCATTGCCAAAGCCATGCCATCTTCAAAGTCATATAACAGCCATCATTCTTGTAATTTGACAAATGAACCATATCATAAGATGCTTGGTGAAAGATCTCATTCTAAGAATAAGGAACACTTATGTTTAGGTGATCTCAGAAGCGCTATAGAGGAACCTATACTGTATACTCCTGCTTCCCATAATGCATCGGAAATTAGCAGACATCATTATGTAAACAGTGGGTATCACTCCATGAATAATGAAATCTCAAGTACTGAAAAGATGGAAAAATGCAGAAGACAATTGACTGAGAGCTGCAAATTGAGGAACAATATTGAAGATCAAATGTAAACAATACAAGGGATGTGAAAAGGATTAAAATCTAATTTTTCTATGTGACCTGTATGTTATAATAGCATTCAAATAGCAATAAACAATTTTGTAAAATACATGTACTAAATTCAGGGAAATGATTTCAATTCAAAATTATAATTTGTTAATTGATTAGCTATTTATTGAATAAAAAATATGTTATATTTACTTCTATTCATATTTTGTATTCTGATCATGTGCCGTAGGTTAGCAATAGAAATTTCACAGTATTAGAAAGGGAAAATGAAAATATGTACAATACCAGAAAATACCAGAATGAGAACTGTACAATTCATCACTATAATTAACAATCATCATATTCAGTGATATTGTTGTTACATGTCGAATGTAAGCCCTGGGAGTTCATATACTGCAAATATGATGATTTTAATCTCACAAATTGCAATTCTGTATATTCAACTGATATTTGTACATTTTGTAACATTATTTACCTTTCACTGATCCTTTGAGGCTGAAGTGGATTATTGTACTGCGATAAAAGTGGTAGCACTTGATACCAATTCAGATGACATGAAAATAATGAAACAGTAAAATCATTGATTTCTTAAATCGTGTTTCTCACAATTTTTTAATGGTTCCTCTTAAATGTATGCGTGGGGCATATTGATTTGTTTTTATTGTTTTGCTCCTTGTGTTTTCTCCTTTCTTTGGTTGTTTTGTTGTATTACATTCCAAATGTTTCCAAGAGTCGTTGAGTCCTCAGTTTGTTCTTGGTTGTGAGCAGAGTTTTGCAGTAGCATAGAATCACATTGTTGTTGCGTTTTCAAATGAGAATTAGAGTGAAAAAGAGGGAAAACAGCAAGGAATAAAGTAAACAGACATGCAGTAAACACATTACATTGGAAATAAATGCCAGAAAACCAGACCATTTATTCTTTTGAGAAAAAGCAAGGAGTAGTCACATCCAAAGTTTTATTCAAGGCCCGGTAATGAGTTATTTTATGTGTTGTCAGGTATCGAAGGAAGTTGATAAAAGCAGAAATGAAGAACTCTAAGCTTAATTCAATAATATTGGAAATTTACTTAAAATGGGAATGATTGTGCAATTATAATGTCATAGATGCAAATTCTGGGTTCTAGAATTAAACCAATTGTAGAATTATCTAAGAGGAGTGGGAGAAACTGAGTGACATTTATCATGCAATATAAACAAAACAGGTTTACTGGCCTGTTGGCAATGAACACGTTTTCTGTTTGGTTTTGAAGTGTGAAAACTTTAGGTTGATTGGTTGAATCAAATTTGATTGACAGTTTGGAATTCGATAATTGGAATTTTCTTAAGTGTGGATAGAGGAAAACAAAGTCAAGGTGAAGGTACGCTGATGGAGATGTTGTTTCTACCTCCAATTTAATAGATACTTTGATAACTACTATCAGTCAAGGATAACATTTCACAATAAAGGTCTTATTAAAGTAGAGATCAGGATTTGGTGTGGAGATCCTCGCAAAACATCAAACAGCAGTAAATTGAGATCCGTGATTTTCATAGCATCGAAGCAACCAGTTGCCGTGCACATTTGACAAACAATTCTTTTCAGAGTTGGAAATCCATTTGCAACTTTTTCATTTATTTGAGAATTTTAGAAAAATTGGGATACAATTTAAAACTTAATTTGTAATGTAATACACCGGTAGATCTTTACAGAGGGAAAAAATCCTTGGCACTGCTTCTCTTGCAAAATAATTCACCTGTCTGAGAATATTGGACATATATAGCACAGGTACACCAGAGTTCCATAATAGGATCAATATCTCTTGGAGCTCATACTTCATTCAGGAATAATCATTACACGGAATTAACGAACACAAATGAGAGGAACGGCATTTACGAGAAAACCATAAGAAAACCTGATCCACAATTAGTCCCTACCTGATGGAAGATACGTCGTTACCTGCGGATATTTGTAAAGATGTTGTTATGAAATTGACTCTTAGACGATGACATACGTCGTTGTGTTATTAAAAAGTGAAACCTACACCTGAGGATGTAGTTTAACATTATTTCATACACTCATATTCTTGATTTATACTTTCGAGGATATTGTCATGAAATTGACTTCTTGTTGATGACACACAGACTAAAACATTGTTGATGTTATTAAAAAGAGAAATCATGCACTGCTCGGGGATAGTTTTACATCATTGGCTTGACTAGTTGATCTCGTAGTTCCATGTTTGATGATGGCTGAAGTATTTCTTGCAGTGAATCTCCACCATTGCGTCTTCTTGAAAAAATACAAATTGCAAAGATAAGTCAATATTAGTATCTATTGTATGGATCTTGTATTGGAACACAATGTTGGACAGATGATATGTGAAATGTAGAAATCTACACAATGGGGGCAAATGGCTCAAAGAATCATAAAGTTGGGGACATTCATAGTGATTTCGAACTGAAACGAAAATCGATGAAAACACGCTTTCCGAAACATAATCGTAGATTAAGCCAATCACCAAAACCAGGGAAGGTAAGATTAAATATTCTCAACTCAATTTGTTTAGAATTCAGTGTGGCGTATTGTGATTGGCCCAGTCGACCAAAATTGACTTTTTTCATGTTCAACATGAGATGTTGATGTTTTGACGAAATCACATTATTGTTATTCTTAGTTTTCACTTGCTGCTTTTGTTAATTGATAGTGTTTATTGGGGTTTGATGTGTCATTTCTTCATATTTTGTGTCTTTCTTCAGTTTTTGTGTCTTGAATGTCTGATTTATGAAAAGTGATCCATTAATGGATTATGGAAATGATAATTGCCAATAAATAAAACATGAAAAGATGAGATTAAACAATACCATCAGGTAAAAGTGCTTTTCAATTGACACGCATACGATCAGGTGGAATTGATTTTTAATTGACACAATTTCATCATATGATGCAATTCCATCGGTGAAATTGCATTTTGATTTCCATGATGTAGAATAGTATAAGGCATCAGTATACACACTCATCATCAGGGATTGAGATGACTATATATGAGCTTTACTGCCCACTCTACTCACTAGAAATCACTTGGATAATTACAGAATGTAAAACAATACTAGATTTCCGATTTCTCAAATCCATGGCAAATATTTAATGTTCTACCTCACACTGCATTGTAAATAAATCGTAATAGAATGGGCGATTTATGATTAATTGTATTAAGTACGTACATCAGATGTCATTAGATTATTAAGATGTCATGGGATTATCAATTTCTTTTAATTAATCATAGGTATGAGCGTATGAACTCAACTAGCTACGTTCTTCAAAATAATTGCTTGTAATTTGTAATTCAGGAATGAGGAATGCTGTTTTAATAGCTGAATGACTTAATTTAGTATTTGTTGAAAAAACAAAGAACTGTTTGGAAAACAAAGAACTGTTTGGATACGAGAATGTGTATCAAAGTATGTTTTGTGAACATTCCAATATTGACCCGAGCCTACTTCAAATGTCACAATTAAAGAACAATCCATTCCAGTACCAGTATTTGCCAACCAATCAATTGTTTTTTGTCCAACTAATTTCTAGCTCTCCATTCGTAATTTCTTCGTGGTATCATTGATTTGGTATCAATGATTTTAATCTTTCGTGTATATTGAAGTATCAACCACCTCATTTATTATTCATGTTCTGCTATTATGAACTTTCTTCTGATCCTATGAAAGGTTACCATTTCTGTTAAGGTTAATTCATTGCCAAAACAAAATGGCTTTTTGCATGATTGTATTATGAGGCTCTTAATTTCACTGTTGAAAATTCCCTAGTAACTTTATTCATCCAAAGGTACTTGGTGATATTTGCCTTTTCGGTGACATTTAGGATTATTGCTAATTAGTCCCAGGCGCAATCCCATGGAGTCACATTTTGCATGTTTTACTTCAACATGTCCAATTGCAATATTAGCATATATTCATGCAATCTCTTCATTTGTGAAAAATACCATTAAAAAAAGATAAAACAACTGAGAATGGATATTTTATGTAAGGTTCATTTGCAAGGCTGGAATCTAGTCAATTAAACACAAATCACGATCTCTGTAATCTTGTAAGATGAGAATGAAATTGAGAATTAGAAATCAGATTTATTATGATCAATAGAATGTTGTGCCTGGTTAGTATCACTGACAGAAGGCTTTAGACCATTCAACTGATGAATTAAATGAAAGACATGCAGATGAGGCCAATGTTTTAACTATTGTGATTTGGAAGTTTTTCAAATTGATTTAAGTATTCTTTGTGATTTCTTTTTTAGCAATTTTGTTTGTATCTAGGGGATGAATTCCAATTCTGCATAACCCACACAATGGCAGCAGTTGTATGAGCTATCCCAAATAAGCCATTTGATGATGATATATTTGTAGATTAACATTTTCTTACATCTCAAAATGATGTTTTATGTTTTCAGACAGTGACATTCCAACTGTGCAGGCCTGAATACCAATTTGATAATTCTAAAGCAAAAGACAACCTATCGTGGAAACTGTAAGAATCATTAATGTAAATTATGTTTACTGTTTTCAGAGAGTATCTTTCCAACTGTCTGGCCTTGAAGATCAGCTGGGTAATACCAAAGCAAGGGCTGAGAGTGTCCAGGGCTCAGTTAGTAAACATGATGACCAACTGGTGCAGGATCAGATCAGGTACGCCATCTTTAATCTGTCACTTTATCTCCATTTCTAACTTTAACCTATGGAATTTGGCAGTGGAGGTTTACCATTTTAAGAACACTTATTTCATCTACCAGAATTTGTGTGTTTAAATGTAGTTTTAATGTGTTTAAATGTAGTTTATGAGAATCAATTATTTTTAGCATCCCTTGTCAAATACCAGCTTTGTCCCTGTACGTCCCTGTATTTCAGTATCATGAAACATACTTTTATAAAAGGATTGAAAAGCAAAGTGTGTAGTCTATTTACTTTTGAAGTCTTCCATAAAACATCATGGCCATCTTCATTTAATATTACAGAGACTTGGAACAACGGTTCACCGAACTTTCCAAAAAGACAAAGGATCAACTGGCTGAATGCGACACTATACTTGTCAACTATGACACCATCATTGTCGACCTGGACAGCTACTCTGTGTGGATGCAGGATAAACAGACTAAACTTGAGGCTGGTACACTGTGCAGTTATAAAATGGAGGAGGCTATCTCGAGACAACAACACATTGAGGTAGAGCTTATTCTTTGATTGCTCCTTATTGTTAAGAATGAATTCAGTGTTAAGATTTTAAAAAACTATGTACTTCATTTATTTTTTAAGGCACTCCATGGATTATGAATTGGAAACTAACATTTTTGATTTATTTTTTTCAGTGTCTTGTTGAAGAGTTGGAAACAAAAGAAGATGAAGTTGATGAGTTAGTTGTACGCGGAGAAGATTTGCGTGGAAACTTGAGTCGCCATGAGCGTGACATCATCGATCGCCAACTCCAGACTTTACGTCTCGATCACCATAAGTTACTAGAGAAATCCCGTGATGAATGCAAGCTGTGCTCTAGAGCTGTAGAGGTCAGAACTGAACTGCATGCCCTCATTGAAAAGATATCCGTCTGGTTGGAGGAAAGAGAGAAAGTTGTGTCTTGTTTGGAACCTATGAAATTGAGAAGTTCTGAGATTCAAGAGCAAATCAATAAAAACAAGGTAGGAATACTATTTTATTGTCATATTATTTGAGTGCATGTGTTCAATTTTAGGATAAAACTATCTAAGTAAGTACTTGATAATTGACAAAGTCAATCATGAATATTTGCAGAGGTAATTTTCTGATTGATATTCTGATTTGATAGCAAGAGTTTAATAACTACTTGTAGGCTGTATTGTCAGAGATCAGTGCATTTGAAGTGAACCTGGTACGCTTGGAGAAACAGACGTGTGAGCTGGAGTGCAGTGAGGAATCTAAGCCTGAACTACTGGAGACAGCAAAAGGTAAAAATTCCCATAATGCAGCATAATTAGCAGACGAAAATGACAAAAAAGATTCCTGCACTTTGAAATATGGAAATGAAACTCATGAAGGATGATATGATGCTGAAAATGTATATTATTTTCTTAAATGTTAATTTCATACTATGATACATTATAATAATTTTTTAATGCTTACTTTTTCCACGATTGTGTATTTTTTTATAGATCTGAGTGACAGATACTCTAAGTTGAAAACTGAACTGCAGACCTGGATAGATAACGCAAAGACTGCTCTACCAATCAGAAAGAAGTTCGAGACTGACATTGTTGCCATAGAAACTTGGCAGACGGAAGTAAATGGTCAATTAAACAAGGAAGTCTCTTTGGAGGCTCCTATAGACACATTGAAGGATCACGCTAGAAAGTTACAAGTGAGTTATGTAATTACTACTTTGGGGGTCATTAACAGAATTTTTGTAGAGTTGAAAATCCCTCAATCAATTGTTGTAACCATGGATGTAATGATGTCATAGTAAGAGAGCCATGGACTTAAGAATTCTTTTTGACCAAGTGTGTATTGATGAGCCCCAGAAGCACTTAAACCCCAAAGAATGGGTAGTGTTAAACAGGGTAAAGGCTATGATAAGTGTAGGCACTAGTGAATAACAGTCTTCTTTTTGTTTGAATATTGGAATATTATGAACGCTCTTTCATTTCTCTCCTAGAATAACAAGTCCTCTTTTTATTATTTGAATATTGAAATATTATCAACTCTATCTCATTTCTTTACAATAAAGGATCAAGAGAAGAAACAATCCCAGATGGCAGCACTGTTGCAACAACTCACCCTCACCAGTGAACAATTTGAGAATCTCAGTGAAGCCGAGCAACAGAGTCTTCAGGAGCAAATCACTATGGTAACCCACACCATGACAACAATCTCCCAGAGCATCACTACAATGCATGTGACCCTTACAGAAGCCACAGAGTCTAGAAACAAGTTTAATGAGGAGATCAAGGCATCTGCAGCTGTTGTGTCAACTGTACAAGAAGATCTGAAGAGATTAACAGGCCCCATAGGACCAAGAGTTGAGGATGCCCAAACACTAATTGAACAATTTGTGGTAGGTTTTTTTACACTGAGCTTATACTTTGGCATACATGGGTTATAATGCAATGCAATATGGAAAAAAATGGAATTAGCAAAAGTTAGATAGCTTTCAAAGAGGTATTCCTTATTGGAGGAAAAATAGTGAGATTATATACTCATTCAACTTTTTGGAGTGAAATGGAATAGAATAGAAGCATAGGTATGTAGAGACAACTTGTAATAGCATGATCTGTCACTATGTTACAGGACATACAGGACACGCTTGCAGACCTGAGCCCAGACCTTGGTCAACTGGAGCAGAGTAAAGAGCAACTAGCCTCCCAGGGTCAGATCAGTGTGCAACAGGATCAGGATCTGGTGCAACTTACTGCACTATATGAACAGCTAACACAGCAGGTACATACCCATAGTGCTACATTTATTATTTTGTTTGAATTTCTGATACAAGGACAGTTTTAAGATGCCTTTAGATTTGTACACTGGTATATATTTTATTTCAATTCACATTTTCTGAGAACATAATACTAATATCCAAATGTTTGAATAGCACAACTCTAGAGTTATCAAAATGAAGCAACCTCTGATCCAATGGATGACATAAATAAACATAACCATCAAAATATTCATGATTTTCATTGTACAGGTATCAGAGAGGTTGGAACTACTGCGCCAGGCTGAATCTCTACGTGAAGACTTCACTGAAGAGAGATCTGAGTTGGAACAGCAAGTGAAGCAGACCCAAGATGAGATGGATAGCATGGCCCATATGGGTGTCTCTGTCCCTGTGAAACTAGATAGATATCAGGTTTGTCATTGTCGTCTGCTATCTGTGTTGCATTGTTGGAAATCATGGTGTGTCTATCCCTGTGTCACTGGGTTAATATCAAGTAGGTCACATGATGGCTTTGATGTCTGTTATCTTTGTTGAATTATGGGAAATTGTGGTTTCTGACTCTCCAACACTAGATAGATATCAGTTAGATATCATTGTTGTCTCCTAGTTGTAGTGCATTATGGGATATTGTGGTGTGTGTCCCTTAATTATGTTCCAGACCTTCCCAATTCTCTAAATGAACCAAACTTAATTCTAGAGATTTCAAGGGACTCCAAGGAACCATTGGCTATAACACATTATTGTATCAATCTCTACTTTTCAGAGTCTTGTCTCTAGTCTAAGCTTACAGCAGGTCCCTCTAGAGAAGTTGAATGACAAAGCCAAGCAGATTGCAAGCCAGACTCTGCCAGAAGACAGCCATTCAGTGCTCAGCCAGGCCAACACCCTCCAATCAACCTTGGAGACCATGCTCAAACAATGCCAGCGTAAGGCCAAAGAATGCCAGGAAGTCCTTGATGAGCGACAAACCTTCTCTGAAGACCTAGAGAAAGCTCTCACATTCCTGAAACAAAAGAATGATGTGACAAAACAACATAGTACACTTGGATTAGATTCCCAGTCAATTACAAAGGAATATACCACATTGGAGCAGGTCTCCAAAGAGGTGAATGACTGTATTAGAAGTATACGTCTCAAAATTGAAGACCAGAAAATGAAATTTGATGAGAGTGATGAGCCTATGACTCTTGATTTAGCAGATAATATTGATGAGTTTGAGGAGTTGGAATCGACACTGAAGAAGAACATCAAAGCTATGGATCAAGTATTGAATGAAGCGAAAGTTGCGAGGGAGGAATATGATGCCTTATATGATGAGGTTGCATCCTGGGTGAGGAGCTGTGAGGAGCAACTTAAGGATCCTTACAGTGGTATAGAATACAACCTACTGGAGGACCAACTCACTGAACATAGGGTGAGTAAATATGACAGGTCCCCTTTACTAGTCTTACTATACATACTTATCCTGTATACCATTTTAAATGAAGACATGGTGACACCTTTCCATAAGATCTGTGTTGTTGGTCATTTGCTGTTCATTGTGCTCCTTGTCAATTATCCACTCTATTACTGAGTTTATTACAATTTCTTTTTTAGGAATACTACGCTGATGAAAACCAGCAGCACCTGGTTCTTGACAAACTGATGGACCTATCAGAGGCCATCATTGTTACGTTGGACAAGAATGACGAACAAACTCTCACACAGTCTCTCACTAATTTGACCAATAAGGTGTCCTCAACTATTGGGAAAGCTGCCAAAAAGGAGACTAAACTGCAACAACACCTTGACAACTGGAATGAGTACCAGGTTTGTTGTTTTTAACTGTGACTCTATATTTTATAAGCTTCTGAGACCTGGGCTTGTGCTTTGGAGATTCTGGAAATTTGGTAATGATAATAATTTAAGAGAATTACAATATAAGATAGAAGCCCAAAATCAGTCAAAATTAAAATCAAGCACCCTATTGAGAAAAAAACTTTAGAACACTGTGAACTATATGATAATACTGTAGTTATAATCCTGTAGAATCATGAATCATTTTGTTTTGTACAGAGCTTACTAAGCCAGGCTGGTAAAGCAATAGATGATGGTGAGATGGCCTGGAGTACAATTGACCTAACAGCACCTAGCAGTCTTCAGATGGCAGAACAACAGCATACAGTCATTGATACATATGTTAAAGAACTGGAGCTCCATAGGCCTCTTATTGATCAGCTGAATGACACAGCTCGGGCACTTTCGAGAAGTGGGAGTCAGAATGTATGTGGAGATATTGATAGGACTATTCGGAATGTTAATGAGAGATGGTCTTCGTTATTTTCGCAACTGGATGGACAGACTACGATTCTAACTGTAAGTACAGATTGCATGGTGTTTGGGTAAGATTTCTACATTGAATGAAGATGTATTTCACATTTCGCTAATATCATATTATTGGTGCATTTATAAAGAAAAGTCAGTGAGTCAAACAAAGAAAACAAATAAACACACAAAACAAATAATGAGTTTAAAACTGACATATTACAAAGAATATGTCGAAATGTTCTGTATAATATATGTGTAGGATGTATTGTTGTTCATGAGCATGCAATACGGGAATTCAATTACATTTCGACGTTATAGTGAGAAATTATGTGAGGCAACTAAATTTTGAAATAAAAAAACAAGGTTACATCTGAAAATGTTCTCAAAACCATGAATTGAAATAATATAATTAGACCTAATCAACAATTATCTCTTAATACAATTTATTTGGTTTGAAGGAGATAATAACAGAATGGCGTAGTTACACTAGCCTAGTGACCAGGGTGGAGACATTCCTTACTACCACACAGACCAGAGTCACCACAAGCATAGAATATCAACACCTTACTACAGAGCAACTGGAGGATAACCTAAATGATTATCAGGTAAGTAGGCCATTGACCAAGAGGGAATTTGTAAAGTAGTTGGACTAAAATTTACTGAATCCTGTGTGTTACTTATGTTAGAAATCAAAACAAGTGTACATGACATCATTGTTTTTTCCTCAGAAACTTTGCACTGCGATTGAGGCTAGTGAGGTTGATGCTGAGGCTCTGAAGAAAGCTGGTGCCTCCCTGCTGAGGCATCTCATGAGCAGTGAGGCACAGACACAAGTACAGAAACAACTATTCACCATAGAAGACCAGTTGTCAGAGTAAGTGACATCCCAAATTATAAATATGAAACCACAAAGGGCAACATTTGAAGAACAAACCCCATATGAGTCTCCTAGCAGGACCTTTTTCAGAGGGGTCTCTTTTTAGTGGATATCACTTGATCCAAATCACAACATTCAGCAAAATATTATAACACACAAAGCCTACCACCTAGAACTTTTTTTTACCAAAGTATTACCACACACAAACTATTTACACACAGCCTGTTTTACCATTTCAAATTTAAACACACTTATAAATACATATTACAGACTTGATCATAAAGTGAAGGAGTCCACCTCAGAGTTGACCATAGAGAAGGAGGAGAGGGAGAGCTTCAAACAGGAAATGACTGAGACCATCTCTATGCTAGAACAGAGCCAGTGTGATCTGGATGACATTGATGTGTCTGCCGATGAAGACACCCTGAAACGTAGCATGGATAGACAAATGGTAAGATTTAATTTAACCCCAAAAAGCATGACATAATACACTTTGGTAATGAAATGCACATGTATAATGCCTAAATAATTTTTCTGTTTAATATACATTTTTCCAGAATCTTAATCTCCTGTTTCTTTTATAAGGTAAATCAAATTAATTTCAACTTTTTTCAGTTATTGAAACAAGAGGTAACCATGAAGATAGAACAGCTAGAGACAACTGCATCCCTCTACAATGCAAAGTATCTAGCGGAGGATGCTGTGTTGCCTAGCGACCTTCAGGATGCTCTCGACCAAATGAGAGCTCTAGAAAGAAGTTTCGAGGAAAAGGTAATTCATGACAATTTTTTTCATTTGATATAAGTGTATTGATATTTATATTTAAATTAATACATTTAACAACCTGGAAAATCAGTTGAAAATTCTTTATAAGAAACATCCAATTTATATTGAAACTTAACTTAAGGGCCTTAGAGTGAAAAGTTCTTGGAAGAAAAAGAAACAAGTGAAATATTCATATTTTCCTGTACACACCACCTTTAATCAAGTTTTTATTTAGTTTACATTTCACATAGTCAACAAACAATACATTTTTTCCAATTTATGTGTTATAGCTTGATGAGAAAGAGCAAACCCTAGCCAAGGCCCAGGAGCACCAGAGTGTACTTGAGGACACCAAACAGATCATGTCTGAGTGGCTTGATCAGGCAGATGATGTCCTCAGTGCACCTGTGACACAAGTAGAAACTGCTCTTGAGAAACATGAGGTAAATAGAATTGTTCTTATGTTAGATGATTTTGTTTAATTTGTATGATCAGTGTATTCAGTTATTTTCTTATTCCAATACTGATACTTGTGAAAGTTGTGAGTAAGGAATCAAGCTTGCTTTAATTAAGTTAATAAAAATCCTCCATGTTATTTCTGTCTTTTGATAGTTGTTCAATATCCATTTTAGAAGTTAAAACTAAGGAATCATGTATTAGTTCTATCGTCTATGTTATATCAGCCTGTTGACATTAGTTCCATTTAAAGCTTTATGTCCTGTAGATATCCATACTTTCCCATTGTCCATATATCGTTTGTAATTGCCTCCCATTCATTATGTGTACCAATTGATGATTTTCCACAGTAGGCATCAAAGGCTAAAATTATGGAATTGATAACTACAATTAGCTTAAAAAATTACCTCTGATGTAATGCTTCAAATTATAAAGTTGTCCAGAAGTAAAGAAAAACATATAACACATTTTTTTTCTCTTCATCTTTTTATTTTCACGTAATTCTTTGATTCCTCAGGTTTTCTGGTAGAAATTGAAAATTGATTTAGTTTAGTTATATTTAACTAAACATGAAAGTTACATGTGAGTTGCATCATCATTTTCCTATAAAGGACACTTCTTGACACATTACCTTATTCTCTGTACTTAACAATGTAGAGGTTTTGACTATGTTACCTTATTCTCTGTACTTAACAATGTAGAGGTTTTGACTATGTTACCTTATTCTCTGTACTTAACAATGTAGAGGTTTTTACTATGTTACCTTATTCTCTGTACTTAACAATATAGAGGTTTTGACTATGTTACCTTATTCTCTGTACTTAACAATGTACAGGTTTTGGCTGCTGTCAACTATAAGCAATTCATCTTCATTGTGGTTGATTGTGACAGTATTAGGAAATGACAAGCCATCATCAGCAGTCATCAAATACCTACAAATTATAGAGAACAATATTTATATTACTTTAAGAATCTGTATATACTATCAGAGAGCTTTATCTCATGACATTTTTATTTTACAATAATTGCTTTACATTGACTCTCTAAACACCTCATCAGATATGTGTATGGGACATTAGATCCTCCATGTATGACTTGTACATATACAGATTAATGTACCTGTAATATACATTAGTAAGATAGAGGTTTTGATATATTAAAAATGATTAATAATTATTAAAAAAGGTTTACCTCAGGAATCGACCTTCGGGGCTTAGGAGAATCACTCTGTGGTTGCCAGTATCTGCTACCATAATGTTATCGCATGCATCTATGAACACACCACGTGGCCCATTCAGTTGTCCATCATCTGGTCCCTGGACTCCTCCATAAGTGAACCTTTTGGTGCCATCTGGGTTTATCCCCTTCACACAGTGTCCACTTATATCACTAACTACACTCACATCTTTACTGTTGATTGCCACATACATTGGACATTTGAATGTGTGCTTTTTACATTGGGGTGTAGAATTGGGCTCACCAGTATTAGGATCAAGATACAGCACGCTCCCAAGGTTGTGATCACAAACTGCTAACTCTCCCCGTGAGTTTGTTGTGATGCCATTAAATGTGTGCAAACCATCAACTACTATTTCACGTTTCTTGATACCATCAAGATCGCATATACTGATCGCATTGGACTGGTCAGTAAATGCTATATCACCTTTGTGAGTTAGTGTTAAATTTTTAAAATTCTTTTCACGATGCTTTTCTATTTCTTTTGTTGGTGTGTAGTCTGAATCATAGAGCCATGTTCCAGAAGCATAAAACAATAGTCCCAGTGTAGCCACGTAACGTCCATTAGGGAGAACTCTCAAATCCCATGTGCTCGATCGCAGTATTCTCTTTGTTCTGAAAGTTGGAGTGCATAGCTTTTTGGTCTTCACGCTTCCAATCTCAACTCCTTCGTTGACACTTATTCCCTCTGTGTACTGAAGAGCAATCCTGTCCAAGAACTGCGGTTTGGGGATTTGGGTCCAGTCTTGAAGTTTCTGGTTGATTTGACCAACAAGGTCAGCAATCTCAACAGGATGGGCGTGGTCTACGATTGAGCAATATTTACTAACTTGACTGTTAACGATACATCTTTGAAGCTCAAGATGACCCTGGTGTGACATGATTTGCTTGATGTGAGATTCTTTTTCTTTTGCCATTTCATCTGTGAGGGATTTGTACTTCTCGCGAATGGATTGGATAAGTGTGTTCATATCATTGATCATTTGGTCTGCGATAGTATCAACATTTTGTTCAAAGTCTGCTTTATAAGCCTGTGTGTCATCAATGGCTTGTTCATATATGTCAACAAGTACTTTACCTTGAGTGATAACTGCTCCAATTGGTTTCATATTATTGACAGCAGCCTGTTTAATGTCCTCGCAAGCGTGGCCAGGGTGGTCAATGGGGTAACATAGCTGACAAAGTACTGTTTGATCCACCTTACAGTAAAGCTCCAATGGCTTGGTAGGGTGCACTAGACAGAAAACAGTTCGCTCTTTGATAGACTGCAGTGCTGTTTCCAAATCCTGAGCATTATCCCCTGTTAGATCAAGCACCTTATGACCTTCCAGCATTGAGTCATGCGTAATATGACATGTATCACAAAATGTTTTGTTGCAGTCAAGACACCTTATAGTTGCCAATGTATGTGTCTTGTATGTTTTTCGACATATTGAGCACTCTGCTTCTTTATCCTGGTGGTTGTTCTTGAGGGTTTCTAACAGGAAAGTTACTGTAGGGCTGACCTTGAACTTTTTCACCCCTCCCTCAGGTATTCCACATTCTTGTCTGCACTCTGGGCATTTCAAAGTTCCCTCTTCACTAGGGTCATCTCCCTCCACTAGGCCATCCAGGCACTTCAAGCAGTACGAGTGCATACATGGCAATGTTCTTGGTTCTGACAATGTGTCCTGACAAATTGCACAAATTATAGCTTCTTTATAATGATCTCTACTACTCGCAGTATCTGATGACGCCATTTCTTTTATGAACGTTTATTCTAAAATGTACATATAGAGTCTGTTATTACATACACTGCTATATATGACTGTTACTTGGCATAGATAACAGTTTTTTAGCTCCAAAGTCCATATTTTTTAAATTAACTTCCTGCTAAGTTAATAATTGATTAAGAACATTTGATTAATGGCAATTTGGATATATGATTAATCTGCTGTGACGTACTTGAGTCTGTAATAATGATGGATGGCTTTAAATAAGTATTTGTTTTATATCATGTCAGTATTTTACTAAATAGGCATTACCATCTTGCAGAAAAATTCATTTTACCAGTTGATTTTTCTTGAAAGTGTTTTCTTGAGTGTTCCATGAAACATTATAGGGGGAGCAATGGAGGGGGTGAAGGGGACTGTCAGCAGACATATGCATCTTCATTGGAGTACCAAAGATCAGAATTTTCTTTTGTGACAATTAAAACATGTCTATGTTTTATATTTCTAGGCCTTGAAGAAGGAATTTGACATTGTGCAACACAAAATTGAAACATTAGAAGATGTAACATCTGAGGTGGTTGCTGAATTAACTCACCCAGAAGCTGCGCAAGCCATCCAAACCAGCGTTGATGAAATCAAAGAACGTTGGCTTGCAGTTCAGATTGCTACAGAGCAGCGAATCACACAGATCCAAGAGACTGTTGAACTATGGGAAAAATATGAGAGTTTGTTGTATTTTGTTACAAGCTGGTTGGAGACATCACATGCAGTGGCCTCAGCTGATGTTGTATGGATGAGTCAGGAAACAATAGATCTGCAAGTTCAACAGCATAAGGTATACATCTTTCATGCAAATTATTCTCATGAAACCATTTAGGGACTCTGGGAGTATGAAAAATATGAAGGGATTTTGGTGGAAATTCTGTGTGTTAGATATACTAATTCTTGACACAATGCCTAATCACGATTTGTGTACTTTTAGGCTCAACTTGAAGAGCTTCCAAAGGTTCAGGAAAACTTGACTGAAATGTCAGCAACCCTTGAGAAACTGCAGCCATTATGTAGCATTGAACCGGCTCAATCCAAAATGGTAACCACCAGTCAGGAAGTCACTGTCGTATCAGAAAAGCTACATGAGCAAGCTGAGTCACTTGAAGAGACTGTTGCTGAATTGGAGACATATGGCAATGAGTTGAATGAAGTTACACAGTGGCTTGAGGAGACAAGGGATGCTTTGAAAGCTAGAGATACCACACTTACTTTGAAGGAGCAGCTTGCCATGCAAGAGGTTAGTTGCTTATATGCTGTATGCATTTGCCTTCAATCATGACATGAAGCTCAGCAGAACTGTCAGACCTTTCATTTTCCCTTTATTGTAATTCTCTATTAATGTTGCTTTACAACTTTTTACGAAGGCCCCCCACGAAGTGGGCGGAGCCATTCGTTCTATGGACCGACTGTCGACCAGTCACGTGACCAAGAATCCGCCATTATTACCTTATATGGCAAATCATCAAAGCAACGATCACGACGTCATTTGATGTGTTTGTGATGAAGATATGACGTAATATAACAAACTATGACATCAGTTACTTATTGCCCTATCAACTAAACAGACAAGAAAGCTAAACGTCACACATCACAGTGTTTATTATATTTTAATTTGTGACGTCATTAACATGTTACCTAGCCAACAGAAAACAAGCAGTAAAATGTAGTTTGTTCATATTGTCTTTCTCTGTGGTATTTCCATAAAAAGTGGATCAGTTTTGTCAAAATACATGTAGCATTATGGCCTTCGTATTTTTCTAGTGTTTTTCACTTGATTTTCTTGTTAAATTGTAAATTGTGTTGTACTTTTAATAACAGAAACTGTATGGAGACATTGAGGCACATAGGAGCCAGGCGTTCTCCGTACTCTCCCAGCATTCTGAACTCCGCTCCATAGCAGGAGAAGACAGCCCAACACATAGCACGAAGTTGGCTAGTGAGATCTCACAATTAACTCAGGTCAGTGAAAACTTTGTTTAATAATATGAAATCAGCCAGGAATGTCTTTGAAAGTGAATGGGCACCACATAAATCTTGTCATCCAAAGTACCAGGAAAATTGCTTATCTGTTTAATTTTAAAATTTTACTTTTTTTTAAAACCAGGTTGCTCAGGACAAGCTGACTGAATTGCGTGACCTTGTGAGAGCACAGGAGACATGCGAGGATGAGATATGTGAATTGACAGGAAAGATTGCAGAAGCGCAACAAAAGATGTCAGTGTCATCTATGGAGAAGCCCAAATCACAGTCTCAGTTGAAACAACAGCTTGCAGATAATAATGTAAGTTGATTTATTAATTAATGTAGGAGTCTAAATTATGGTGTTTAAGCTGTATATTTGTTTTTACAGGTTATATATGGATGGGTTTCCCCGGGATTTTTTTAAATGGATGCATGATTTTAATTCTGCTTGTTCTATCCAGGATTAGTCAAAATAACTCCTTTTCAGGCTATATCTTATTTTCAAGTTAGATCATTTTTCAAATGGGTGCAAGCACATTGTTAAATCTCAAGTGGGTGATGCACCCGCTTGATGCTTGTGAATCATTTAATTATATACTATTTAATGAGACCAGGTTTGTAGGTAGGCATACAATTGTTTACATGGACCTTTTAATACAACGTATTTAGGACAAAAATAGAATATTATACATATATATATATATTAAACCAATTATAAACTCAGATGCAGCTAGGCATTTAGGCTATATATATCATTTTTTATCACTGCTAAAATTATTTTGCTTCAGGCACTTGGCCAAGTGCATCATATAGGCATGTACCTTAATTCTTTTAAATTGGTAATTGTTAGTTTAGATTAGTTCTAATTTAAACGTGACCTAGCATGTTAGAATATATGAGCTCTGAACAGATTGATCTGTAGTATTAGCTTGTAAAAAATCTCTACAAAAATTTCATATATTTGCATTTCAAGGAGGGTGAAATGGAATTCATTCCATATTTTATAAGTATGCTCCAAGTTTAGTAGATCAAAGTTGGAGTGATGTATGTTCAAGTAAACTTAATATTTCCTGCTTAATTTTAAAAATGTGGGTTGAAATCTTACAATGTTTACTTACTCAAAAGTAGCAAGCCTGTCTGTCTATCTTTATTAAATTTTTGGTAAGTTTAAGGTCAACAACTTGTAAATTTTTCTCAAAACAAACAATCTGATCCAATAAATCATGTCTTAACTGAAACTACTACTCTGAGTTTTTTAAATACTTTGATTTATTTTTTGAATGATTTCTGAGCAAGGTAAGTTTTTGTTATAGTAATTTAAGATGTTTTCATTTGATAAATATCCACATTTACATATCTGTAAGACTTTTAAATTCAACCTCTAACCTCTTAGATATTTTTCTTCTTTCAAGTATACTTTCTATAATTCAGTCTCACACGTTCAATAAAAAATGAATAAAAAATAGAATTAACCTTAAATCTAATGTAAAACTTCAATGGCCGTGAATGAAGTAAAAATGCCAATAAAAACATTTTAATCTTGTATTGAAAGCTGAGATATAAAACCCCCAAGTCAGAACAACCTTCTGTTCCATTAGAGTGTACTATATGCCTTGTGGAGGAGAACAACATCACTTTAGCACTTTGCCAAAATATGTCAACATGTATATAAAGTGCAGTGCCTAGAGGGTGATATTGTGTTTAGTAGTGAATTAGAAGTGACTAAAATAGCAGCTGTAGTTGTTAAATGATATGCTGGGACATACTTTGGATCTATATTGCTGAAATCAAAACAAATGAAAAAACATCCTTACGATGTATAGTAAATATAGTAGGATATATAAAGGATTATCATATCAGGATTATTTCATGGATTAAACAGCACATAACAGGTGAGGGTTAAGTCAGTGTTACACGTTCTGCATACTAGCTAAAGCATGAGCAACTAGTCAAGTGCGTAACTAAAATTGAGTGTAATGAATCTCACAATGAAGCACCCTCCTAGGGTTGCATAATGGTTGGGATGAAAATAATTCCACTTAAACTTAACCATTTAGTGTAGTGTGCCTAAAATTAGAGTAATTATAACAGGTGAAAAGAGATTAAAGTGGATTAAAACAAAAACATCTCATATAATGTAAGTAGTGATTATAGCTATAAAAGCTGTGATGTAATTGATTTTCATCAGTAATACATATACTATTTAGTATGGTGGCTGTTACAAGCTGTTTTACCATTTTTGCTGTTGTAACTGGAAAAGTAGTAGAGCGATTTTGTTCATATATAGATATAAACATAGGAGATTCATTTCAACAATCTTACCTTAGGTGGTTATCAGCATCTGTCACATTTGTAACATTCAGTAAAACCTGTATTAGTGAACACCTCTCATAAGGGAACACCTGTGTCTAGTGAACACCTCTTCTCATCACACACTCCACTGGCTTCTGTATAAAATTGCCACGCTTTTTGTGGCTCCAATGATGTTCACTTTACACAGGTTCTACTGTATTTGAATATATCTTTGTCTTTGCTTTGCAATAATGTCATGCAATGATTTCACTGACATGCAATCATAAAGTGAATTACAAATACTCTTTTCAATGCAGAGGTGATAACCATTTGAAATTCAATAAATATGGAAGTCAACAGAGATTTTGAAATTATCCAGTCAATTTCAAGACTGTTGAAATAACTCATTCATTTGGCAGTACACATTTGAGTTCATGTACATGCAGTACAAATGTATATTCATATATTTATGTTTTATTATATTATTATATGTGTATGTTTCAGGCATTGGCTGCTGAAGTTAAAGAGTACCAGGAGAGAATAGAAGAACTTGCGCAGAAAAGCAGCCACATCTCAGAACGTGGTCGTCAACTCTCCCCACCCCCAGGTCACAGACAGAGAGACACAGGCTCTGAACTGAGCATGGATATCCCAGACCGCAAAGATAGTGGGTTTATGTCCCCCGATGGTTCAATCAGATCAGGGGTTTCAGTGAAATCAAAGGAGGATATTTTAGGGGGGTCTGGTACTGCCACCTCCCCTTTAGTTGCTCATAGCAACACTGGTGCTCCCTCTATTGACACAACTGATTCAACAGTGTCTCCATCTATTGGTGCTTTAGATCCTACAGTGACTCCATCTTTTGGTGCTTTAGATCCATCTGCTCCTCTCACTGTGAGTGTGACAGATGAGATTGTCATTGGTGCTGACAGTCCCAACAGTGTTCAGAGTAACGACACTGATGAGCTGCTCCAACAGCTAGTTGATGCTGCAGAGAAGACAGCTGATGACCTCAATGAGAGTGACCTTGACTCCCCAAATCTAAGTGGATCTCCCAGCCCACTTGGCTCTCGTTTACCACACTATGGAGCCAAAGAAAAGTATCATGAGGACACAACTAAACCACTTGAACAACCTGATACATACACAGTTATAGAGGAGTATGAAATTGAAGAGAAGATTCTTGGTGAAGTGGTCAGATACAAAGATGACGTTATTGAATCTGATGATGATAACCTTGATGAGGCATTAGCCAAAGCTATACCAACTGGTAAAACTGATTCAGATGAGGATGACATTGATAGTGTTCTTGCCAAGGCTAACCCACCAAGCACTGTTGACACAGATGATGATTTGGACAGTGTACTCTTAGCTAACTCACCTACAGATCCTAAAGGACAATCAATAGAGGAGAGAATGTTGAAGCTTGCCCAAACAGTTTTGCCTATAGACCAACCAGATGATGGTTCACAAATGAGAGATCTCCTACGTGTACACCCGAGTGATACTGACATGGTTACTGAATCGGTTGACATGTATGAAACTGAAGATGGTGCTACTGTAAAGAGAACTGTAGTCGATTCTCACAGACAGGAGATTAACATTGGTGAACCTCCAGAAAAATACACTGCCTTGGAGATGGTGGATTCTGATGTCCCTGTTGCTATGGCTACAACATTAACAAGACAGACGAACACAACAGAGGTTGTGACAATAACAACTGAGAGGACTATGACATCAAGACAGGTGGAGATTGAAGAGGAAGGAGAAGAGAAAGAAATAGAGTTAAAACCTCCAGAGAAAAGTGAACTGAGAGATATCATTTCTGGCTTTATTCTTGGTGGTGCTGATCAGGAGGACCCTATTGAACAAACACCAGCAGGACAATCACCTACTGAACGTGAATCTCCCGAACCTGAACTTGAAATACTTGAACAAGAAACACCTGAAGAGGAAACTGAAATGTCTGATGATGATGATGATGATGATGATGATAAACAGCTTGAAAAGACTTCACCTATGCCTCAATATGGAGCTATGGAGAAATATGATGAAGACACCACAAGACCAATGGATCAACCAGATACATACAAAGTCATAGAGGAGTATGAAATTGAAGAGAAAGTCCTTGATAGTGTCATAAGATACAAAGATGATGAAGACATCCTTGATAAGGCTGCTGAGCAAAACACACAAGTGGATGAGATGAGGCCAAAACTAGATACACATTTGGTAGGGACCACATCTCAAATTGAGGAAATGACAGATCAGATAGTGCCAGAAAGGGAAACCTACGCAGCTGAAATAACATCTCCTTATAAGGAAGGTGAGATTATTGAGATCGACACTGCTGAAGGTAGAGTCCCAGTACGTGTTGTGAAATCTGTTGATGGTGACAGGTATGAGAGAGTCACTACCACTACTGTTACTACAGAAACAACCAGGACAATAAGAACAATCAATGAGGAAGAAACTGAAGACAATGTTGAGGAAATTGAAGACACTGGTGCTAAAGACAAAGAAAGATCCCCTCTTCCAGATGAACTGTACATGTCTAATGATCGAGCTGAGAGGCAAAGTATTGTAGTAGAAGATGATGTAGTGATGGAGAAACGTGAGCGATCAGAATCCCCTTTGAGTAAACTTAGAGGTGCTACTACCCCGAGACAGCGCCAGAAAGAACGCCTTGCAGCATTCATTGAAGGTATAGCAACACAGCAAGAAACAACCAACATGCAGCAACAAGTCGAACCTACTCAATTGGCAAGTGAGGTAACATCCCAAAAACCTATCACGAGGTATGTAGAAGAGACTACGGTAGAAGAGAGATTCTATGACTCCCCTAGTCCAATCAGAGGACCAGGACAGTCTAGGTATGCAAATGAAACCGAAGGTCCTCTAGCTATAAGCACACCAAGACCTGGAACTTCAAGACCTAGGACTACTGAACAAGGAACTCCTGGAACATACCACCAACAGGTAAGTTTAACCTGCCATACAGCATGAATAAATTATGTATTAATTTGGTATGAACTATTATTTTAAGGCATAAACAAGTTAGTAGGATATCGTTTTGAGGAATATTCCTGTGAAATAAATTTGTGCCTTTGGTAATCTAGCCTCAGTTGTTGTATGTTTTCGATGTTATTTCAGGTCTTGGTTTGATGTTAATTAGATTGGAACATTATGAATATTTCTGTTTCAGGATGCTACTGATTTGTCTGTCCAAGTTGGAAGTGAATTAGATCCTTCAATAACTGGCTACACAGACCTGTCAATCACCAGTAGCTCCTCCCCTGGGCAGTCCTTGGTTAGAAGCCCCTCCCCTGGGATGTCTATTGGTGCTCAGTCTGAAAGCATGCAGGAGCTCAACACATCATGGACCTCTTTGCAGCAGCAGGTAGTGTCCCATAATGCAACTCTGAATTGGCAGATGACAAGATTCTGTTTTGAAATTAAAAATTCATTGTTAGGTTGAATATGCATATATAAAGTGTGTAAAATATTATAACTAGATAAGTGCCATACCGATTTGTTGACAATTGAAAATTATGCTCCAGCTTGGTGCCAGAGAAGATCGTCTACGTGGAACATTAGCTGAGCAAGAGGATCACCAGAGGGCAGTGCAGACCATCATGGGTAAAATGAATGAGGCACAAGAGAAATTACAACAAATTGACTCACTCCCTGCAGATCAGCAGCAACAGCTTCAACAGGTATTTCTTGCAGTTATGTAATAGTTTTACACCTAGATCAAAGGTTTTAAGCATCATACTGTTAAACAAAACACTTTCTGCCAATAATTGGAAATTCTGTAAATCTGCCATGGACTTTCTCTGAAACTGAGAATTAAAGCATTCTTCTTGCCCTTGTTATTCCAATCTGTAAATTCTGAAAATCTTATTTGGGAATTAATCTCTGAGACCTGAATTTTAGAACATAAAAAGAACACCACTATGACCATTGTGAAAAGAGATAAAGGACATTACGAAATATTTTGTGATAATATTTTAGGCAATCATAAGAGATGTTGAGCACCTACAGGGGGAGGTAGAGTTGATGGAACAGCAGAGTAGCAAGCTGAAGCCACGTGACCAGACTGCAAGGCAAGCCATGACAACCACAGTGAGCATTCTCACTGATCGACTTCACTCCCTGCAGCAACATGCTACTGACAGGTCACAAAAGATTCAGGTAATAAATTCAACCATTTGTGTATTGTTGGACATTTTTTCCACTGTTGCAGTGAGCAAATGTAGTCCTTTAAGCTCTTAATTTTCAACCTTCATTACCGGGAAAAACTTGATTATATTACAATGGGATTAAAGGAAGTGTTCACCTTATGCAGTGTTCATTATGGAGAGGTGTTCACATCAGTTACAGCTTGTATTGCATCGTGTATTTACCTCATATTTCCAGCAAAAAGAACAGGCTGATAAGGTTGAGCAAACAGCACTAGCTGGGATTGATTCCAAACTGAAAGACCTTCAAGCATGGCTGGAGAGATCCTGTACCTCCCATAATGTAGACCCCCAGGATAGCACTGATGAAAGCGAGATGAAACATATGATTCAGCAATCCCAGGTTAGACAATTAATGTACTTTCATGTCATTTATACTTCCAACTATACCATAATGTTGAAGTGATGATTTGCATGAAACAACAGTTCTGTACACCAGGCCAATTTTGCGCTTTTCCCATCCCTGTTAGTTGACCATATACATGCAAATGAAGTTTGCCTTATTAACGACTTTACATATATTTTCAAATGCTAAAGTGATTTATGTATTCATGTGCTTTGTAGGATCTTCAGGGGGAGGTTGCCAACAAACTACAAGAGCTAGCTGATCTCTCTGTCCAGATTGACCAAATAAGGGAACACACCAATGACTCGTCAACTTGTCAAACTATTGTGACATCACATACACAAGTCCAGAACTTATACATTCAATTCAAATTAGAATTGCTTGAGACATTAGAGTCTGTACGGGAATCCCTGCGAGAAACTGAAAAACGAAAGAAACTCATGTCAGAATATGAGACAAATATGTCTGGTTTGACCGAGTGGTTTGGTCAAACAAGATCTCAAGATCCCACTGAGATGGTTGAGACATCTATTAGAGGAGCTGAGAGCGTTGAGGTGCCTGTACGAACAAGGGTCAATGTTCAAGAGGTAAGATTTTTGAAATATTTCCATGTATTTTTTTGTATTTTTGCATTTTCTAAAATAGTTTTTGAGTATATAGAAATGTCTTTTAGTTTAATGCACATTCAATACTATGCATTCACATTGTTGGGAATAAAAAAGGATTACTGTAGTGAAGCACAGTCTTCAAATCCTCCATTGCACCTTTTACTTGCAATCATGCAAGTTCAAACAAAATGTGGAAAATATATGAATTTTAATTTGACTTCATTACTGCACATTTGAAAAACACTAACTTGTATATTGAATTTCTAGAGCTTCTTGCATGTTCGTTGAATTTCTTGTTATACATTTACACTTGGGTATAGTTGCATGTTGAGTACTTACATTAGAATGGTTACTGCATGCATATTTATATTTATATATATATGTTTTTTTAACTAATAGTTGAATTATGAATTACTATTATATCACCATGGTTACAGCTGCCAAGGACTGAGATTTTGGAGTATCAGGATCTGCTGAAATCTCTGACTGCCTCAGTGCCTCAGAGGCTAGAGGGATCTGAAGTCCCTGGGGCAATACAGGTAGAGACACCTGGTGGCCTGCTGCTTATAGTTGCTGCTTTACCCCAAGCCCTACTTGTCTTCTCATGTACCCCAGTGCCATCTATCTGTTTCATGTTTTCATGTATTTGAACAACATTTCTCCAGTTATTGTATACTGCAATTTATGTGTGCTCATATGTCTGTCTTACTGTATACCTGAATATTGTAGATACATGTCAAGAAACTGTCAGCTTTCTGATTGATACATCTGATTACCTCATTGATATATCTGATTACCTCATTGATATATCTGATTACCTCACTTATACATCTGATTACCTCATTGATACATCTGATTACCTCATTGATACATCTGATTATCTCATATTTGAGCCTCTTCATTAAGTAATGCATGTGTCTTTATTCTATTCAAATAGTTGCATGATGTAATTGCTTCTGAGCTATTGTACTGTATTATCATGTTGCATGGCTGAGGCAGTGCTATATTTAGTTAAGTCTGATGAATAAAGGGACAACATCAAAATATAAATATACGAAGCAATGTTTTATTATATGAACGTGAGGTCTTCCTCTCTGGCCAATATGAATATTTTGATACGATCCCAAAGCTATTAGATGATGATTTTTACATTCTTTATTTTATTTAGAATTATATGAGGGATTTTATAATTTGCTATGGTGTTTAGATGTCCATGTTAGATTTTGTGACATACTTAAAGATGGAAAGTTGTTGAGTCTGCATCTTTAAATTGTGCTTTTTGAGATTTTGGAAATTAAAAAAAAGATTGTTTAGAAAGATTTTATTGAAACAAGATACCTGTTCTCCACAACTTTCCATTTAGAATATATCAATGTGTGTGTGTGCATGTTAACTAAAGTGGATGGGTTTCACGTTGATCGGGGGGACTATATTTAAGTGCGTGCTTTGGCTCCTTTCAGCGGCTTGAGAGTGGTATTAATGAGCACCAGCAGCTCATGCAGTCTGTATATCAAGCTGGGCGGGATATTCAGAATCACCAAGGCGACCAGAAAATTATAGAATTCCAGCAAGGCTTAGCTCAGAATGAGGCTGCTGCTACTGAGGTTATGGTGGAGAGTACATGGCAAATATTATCGCAGAAAATTTCAGAGCGCAATGTTACATTGCAAGAGAATGTTAGAGAGGCAAAGGTCCAGGTATAGGGTCAATTAAAATAATTTTATACTTTCAAATGTGTGTTAAGTGTTTATCTGTCCAACTGTCTTTATCTTATTTTGTTGGTCTCTAATGCACAGCATTCACATTATTGTCTGTCTGCAATGTTATGCTTGCTTTCCCTTGTAAAATATCTTTCAATCAATATAGCACATAACAGTGGAAAAAACAAGTTTATGTCGTTTCCAAATATTATTATATATCCATATCACCACTACATAAATTAAAAGTTTTACTTCTCAACTTTCACATGATAGTGTAATAGTGTAAAACTGCTTACAGGCTGTCAGATAATTGTATTGCATTATGAGATATCCAATGTACCTGTCTATTGTAGGAGTTTGCCGGCCAGCCTTTGGAACACTTCAGATACCATCCCTCAATCACCATGACAACATCTGATGTTGGTGAGGAAGATGCTAAATCTAATCTTGCTGAACTAAATAAGTGCTGGACAGAAATGCAACAGCAGGTAAGGTTTTAAACACTAGTCTTATCCTATTACATTGCATTATGGGAATAGTGTCCTCTGCTAAGAGTTGGACAATACAGGAGTTAATTACACCTCCATGTTACCATCTTTGGATTCCTCCTTATATCCCAGATATAAAGATTTAAAGAGTTAAATGTATCTTGATACTTGTATAAGTACATTAGTAATCTTAACTATTCATGTTCATATTCATATTCATTCAGGTATCAAACAAGGATGCCCAGTTGTCTCAGGCCCTAGAGTTCCAACAGAAATACCAAGATGCTTTGGATTCTGTTAGTGGTTGGCTTGATTCCCTTGAACTGCGTATCTTTTCCCATGACTCTGCAAAAGACCTGGATGACCAGTTGAAAGACTCAGAGGTTTGTAGAATAACTTAAACATTTATTAATTTATTTGTGTTCCAAGTTATCTATCAGATGACTAAGGATTTAGTGTATTTGAATTTGATGCATGTATTTGATTATCAATCATTTCATTTTAGGATCTATATAGAGAAATCCAAAGTTTGCAGAACCATATAGTTCTGATGCAATCTGCGTCACAACAAGTCCTCGTGGAAGCCTCATCCGAAAGCCAGAGTGTAATCCAGCAGACCATCAGGGATCTCCAAGAACGTGTCAAGACACTTGAAGCTCAGGCAAAGGTACGAGAGGAAGAAACAGCTGAAAAGAGCCGCCAGTTGAAACGATACCAACAGGAAGTTGAGCTGCTGAGGAAAAATATGAAGGATGCAGGCACGCAATACCAGACACAAGGCAGCTTGGACCAGCAGCTCACACACTCCAAGGTCAGTGAACTTGTATCTTCTGCAGCATAATAATGCATTATGGGAACTTTTAATATGCCATTTGTAATATTATGATGCATCATGGGAACAGTTTTCTTTTTTGTCTGCAACAAAATAATGCATTCTGGGAATGCATTCTAATGTATTATGTACTATACAGTACATGTAGTTATTATGAGAATATTTTTCAATTCTGAAGCACAATATGCATTTTTCGTGTTGTTTGATAAACATGAAATTATATAATATTTGTCACGATTGAGATGATTAATGATTGATGATTAATTCAGTCATATCAGATATCAAAACAAGTGCAATTAGATCTAGCATTTATCAGTTATACCACCTATTTTAATTAGTTGACATAAACATACATTTTAACCAGTATGGGATAATTTGGCAAGTGTAATAATTAATGCTCATGCTCTACTGTGAATATTGAGCTGTAACATACAGTAGATCAATGTGATTCAGGTTTTCAGTTAATCCATCTACATTTTAATGAACTGAATGAACTATATTGCAGAGATTGGAGGAGCACATCAGGGAATATGAGCAGAGACTTGGAGAGCTGACTGTAAGAGGTCAGGAGATACAGCATACTGAAGGCCACATGGTGCTTCCACCTGAATTAGACGATCTACACCTCACATGGCAACAATTGAAATCCCAGGTAAATAAATTGTTCATCAACAGGAACTTAATTCTTGATAAGATTCAAGCAATTGCCTTTATCATGTAACCATACAGCTGGTAGGGGAAGAGCCAGGATAAAAGAAATGAAATTATAAATATGTATGCGTACAATAAATCAATGAAAAGATTTTAATAAATAAAAGATTTTGATGAGTTTTGGTGAAAGATGCATATTGATGAATTCAAATAAATCCCAATAATATATGGATGCCAAGAATTTACGACTGCTAGATTCTAATGCATTATGGGACATATTCTAGGCTACTCAGCACAAGATGACGTTGCAGAGGAATCTTGCTGTACACTCTCAGTATGAAAAGATGTTGCATGAGTATGCAGAATATCTCGACACAGCTCAGAACAAACTCAAGTCTACTGTTATCACAGCTGCAGATGTTCAACATCTGAAACAACAGCAGCTGACACATAAAGTAAGTGATAAAGAATAGCAAATACATCTGAATCAATGTTTTAAATATAATCATGATATTCAAGTTACAATGATATGTAAAGAGTAGGATTCATGTACATACACTTACATGTGTTTCGTAATTCCCTGAATGTTCAATGTCGTCTGCTTTATTAGTAGCATTATGGGAAATATTATATTGTAGGAATTCTTTGAGGACTTGGAGAGCCATAGGATGACACTTGATGGCTTGGCATCTAAAGCAGACCAAACCAGCCATCAAAAATATCTTCCCACCCACACCCGACTCACAAACCTCACTCTTGTCATCCAAGACAAGGCTGCAGTCCGAGGACAAAATCTGGAACAGACTGTCAACCAATGGGAAGCCTTCCAGATTGATTTTTCAGAGCGTCAGCAATGGTTACGTGACATTGAGAAAAGGCTACCAAAGACCCTTACTGGTGATGAATCAGTGAATGACATCAAGTCCAAGATGGCTGAATATGAGGTGATCGAACATGCATTGGCGGAGAACAAGCCCAAAATGTATCACCTTGATGATTGTGGACGTAAACTGCTGCAGACTGTGAGGTGTCCTCAGTTGGAGTCTGAGGTCGTTGAGTTTGCTGAACAGTGGATGCAACTAACCAATACTGTCACATTGGAATACAAACGGTATTTTTTCTTTCACAGAGAATTTCTCAGTTTCTTCATTTCTTTTTTTTTACATAAAGTTAATTGTAAAGAAAAAAATTTGTATCAAGAGGTATAGAACATATTATGCTTCAAAACTCAGTAATATTACAGTTGTCTTCTGCTAATTCTGTTGCATTATGGGATATTTCAGGCTTGAGAGTGTGTGTGAGCAATGGGACAGGTTTGATCAGAGCCTAGCTACATTACAGGAATGGCTCAGCACAGCAGTCTCACAGGTGGAAATACTGGGTCAGCTCTCCCCTACTGATGCAACTAACATACATATTGTACAGCAAAAGGTCAAGGATTTCTTGGTAAGAATTTACTGATGTATGATACAGTTTATCAGATTTTAAAAAATTAGATTTTAAAGTGTACTTTCAGTGAACTTTGGTTTGCATATGAATTCAAATTGAAACAAATATTTTAGGAGTTCCACAAAGAAGTAGACCGACAACAACCATTAAAGAAACGAGTGCACACATTGGGGACTCAACTGCTTCATAACACTTCCTCATATACCAATACAAGAGCCCAGTTAGACCAGGTTGACTCTCAATGGACCAAATTGATGGTCGAGATCAAAGAATGTGAAGAACGTATGCACAATGCGCAAATACAGGTGTTACCCTCTGTACAAGCTTTGAAGGAATTAATGTTGTGGATCGAAGCAGTCGAGAAAGTGTTGCGTGATGATAAACATAAGACAGTGAAAAACCTGAATGACGTTAAGACAATGCTGCATAAGTACAAGGTGAGAATTCAAGCATGAGGAAAGGGATCAGGGGTGGCAAAGAACAAAGGCAAATGTGTTTAACCTCGAGGAGGGGGCAGGCCACATAAATTTCACTTGCTTTCTTACAATGACCTCACTGACTTCATAAAATTTTGTATTGTCAAGCTTCTTGTTGTTTTAAGTTCACATGTTTCTTATTGAAGAAAATAGTTTTGTATATATTATTTTATATATACATGTAAGATTTCAATATATTTGAATATCTTTCTTCAGGGCATTAAAATTGATGTGAACAACAAGCAGTTGACTGTAGAGTTCATCCAACAGAGCAGTCTTCAGGCTAGTATTGCTGAAGGTGGCCATGGTAGGGACAAGATAGAACAGGCAGACAGGTTGGGGGAACTCCACACTAGGTGGCAGCAGCTATCAATAGATGTCACTGAGAGACTGAAGAATTATGAGATGCTTCAGGTATGATGTATTTTAAATCTTTTTGAGAGGTCCATTAATCTAACCTGAACCATTTCAAATGAATGAAATCATGTGTCCCATAATGCATCTGTGTCTAAAGCAGACGTTATTGTATCTTAGGTCCGCTGGGAGGAGTATGAGAAGAGTGTCAGTCTGCTCCAGACCTGGTTTACAGAACAAGAACAGCGTATCAGGAAGTTCCAAAGTATCGGACATCAGATTAGCATACAGCATGCTCTCAAACAATGCAAGGTATAGATTGTGCAATTTTTTTATAGAATGAAAACATGTTTCTAGTTTCTAGAGAATGCAATATTTTCATAGAATGTTGAAACATATTTCTTCTCTCAGTTGTCTCATTGTCTCTCATAGTTGTTATATTATGTTTCAAATCTTGTCGCTGCAAACTGGGAACATACTTAGACAAAGTGTATTAATAAATATGATAGAATTGAAAAAATCTCAAACACAGATACATTGCATATATTTATTTGTGTTTCAGTCAGTAGAGGAACAGTTACGTGTGAAGGAAGGAGAGATAGATGGTGTTAAGGTGCTTGGTACCTCCTTACAAGAGAGCTCACGTAGTTCACCTAGTAGTTTACGCCATACACAAGCCACTATTGATAAACTTAACACCCAATGGGCAGCTCTGGATCACCAGGTAAATATTATTTATTATAATCAGCATTATTGTGGCATGTATTGTAAAAGTAAAAGTGAGCATGTAAATAATGTACACATATATTATTGTATATTTTTACTAATTTGGTCACAATTACACTGTAGGTATGCCAATTGGAGAACACCCTTGAAGATGTACTTAGACAGTGGGATTCATACAACCAAGCCTTGAAAGTGGTTACTGGGGTCCTTACGGAGACTGAATATACACTTGGTAGATACACCAGCATTGGGGGTGAGGCCGCGGCCTTTCAGACTCATGTGCTCAAAGTTCAGGTACGATGTTATTGAGTGGTATTAGGATAAAGTTGATTCAAATGTAAGGCTCATTACACATAGTCATCTTCTTTGTCTGAACACTGTGGCTCAGCAAACTCTTTGTGGAACATCAATTTGGGTACAATTGGCTTTAGAGTTTATGGAACCAACTAACTTTCAAACACACTTCTACTTTTTATTTATTAGGAACTCCAGCAAAGTTTCAATAGCAGGGTGCCAGATTTGGAAAAGTTTGAGGTCGTATGTTCTCAGTTAATCCAAGTCTGCGAGCCCTCTGTGAAACAATCAATACAGCGTACATCTACAGACATCCAATCACGATGGTCCAATCTTACTAAGGAGATCTCTGGGAGATTGAGCAAGTTCCAGGATGTCCTCTCCAAGTGGCAGAAATACGAGGAGGAAGTTGTGGCTGTTACAAAATGGCTCCAGACTCGTGAGCAGACGTGTCAGAATCTTCTCGAAGATAAAGACGTCTCTGAAAAACGGGAGGAGAATCTTCAAAACAGCAAGGTAAGTTAAAAGTGGAATTCTACATTTTGGAGTGATTTGGTATATTTTTTTGATTTTATTAAGAACCTTTGACATACATGTAGGAATTAAAAGGTGCACTAAGTACTGTACACATATTTGAGCTGCTTATCGCCTCATAATCTTAGGATATGATTTCTAAACAATGATTATACACTTTATGCTTTATTCTTGATCAGCTAAATATTGTGTGTTTGAATTGCAGCAATTGTTAGAAGCTCTCCAAGTGTATCATCGACGTGTAAAATCTCTGGCAAAACTAAGCAGCAAATTTACCTCCAATATGGAGAGCTCTACAATTATCAGTATCACATCACGGGAAAATGATCAACTCCAATGCAGCACCCATCTCCAAGACTCCCTCACAAAACACATCGCAAACTTGAAACATGACATAACAGAACAAAGGGAATTCAACAAAGATTTGTCTGAAATTGACCAATTCTTGGATCGGGCTAGTGGGGTACTTGGTGTTGAGGACCCCAATGCTTCCACAGACATGGACATTGTCAGTCACCGTCTCCAGGACCTTACTGCTTTATCTTGTGATTTTGGCAGTAAACAACTTGATGTGAATGCACTTAACACCCGTGGTTATAGGTTGCAGTTGACTAGTCACGATGCGATAAAACTTCAGGATCTCAACACCAGATGGAGTAAGTTGTACACGGAAACCATCGATAAATGCAAATGCATGCAGGGTCATCTATTGCTGCAGCAGAGTTTTACTGAGAAATGTGAAACATGGATGACTTTCTTGGCGGAGACAGAGCGGGATCTTGCAGTAGATATCGCCGGAGATTATAACTCGTTACTAGAGCAACAGAGGACTCATCGGGTATTTTGCTCTGAGATGTACAGTAGACAACAGATCCTTCATTCCATCATTGGAGATGGCCAAAAGATCATGCAGGACGGTGATGTTGACAATCGAATAGAGTTCCAGCGCAAGTTGACGCTGCTTGAAGAACAATGGCATAATGTTGCAAGACGAGCCAATCAGAGAAAAGCTCTCATTGATAACAATGTCAACCAATGGGAAGTGTATTACTCGATAAGGAATAAATTGAATAGCTGGTTAATGGAGACACGTGATTCTTTACGCATTTATGAATTCACGACTGCTTCTGTACAGAAAATACGAACTCTGATTGAGCATATTAAAATTACCCAGAATGACATCAAGATGCATCATGGGATATACAAGAAGCTCCAAGATGTTGGAAAATATCTCCTTGATCATTCTGAGAAAAATACAGAAGATAAAATCCAAGGTAAGAAAATATGAACATCCCATATTCAACAGTAAATTTTCTTCTTAATTCTTATATTATTTTTTCACAGAAATTGCATTTTACGGGCAGAATTCATCTGTATAATTATCTAAAAGTAATACGTCAAACAGTGGTCTACCCTGATTGAATCTCATGAAACAGTTATGAAAATATTTAATATTGAACTACTTGTAGATGAGTTGGATGAGACTGCCCGACAGTGGACAAAGCTGGTAGATGCTCTGGAGTCAAAACATAAGGGACTAGAGGGCATTCTGCAGAGCTGGAGTGAGTGTGAAGTAGACATTGATGATACACTAACTTGGCTGAAGGATATGAGACGACCCCTTAGTGTTCCATTACCAGATTCCTATGATGACTTGCAGCGTGACCTTCAGCAATGCAAGGTATGTGAATGTTAATATAGTTACAGAAGTGCAAACTGTATAACCATTTGAGATTATGTAACTTGCAATACTGTATCCATGTTCAGCGATTACTTTTGACTCTAGTTTGATTGACACTGTAAATCTGTTGTTTATTTCTTTCTCTTGTGGCATGTATTATTGACTGAAATATTGATGAATTGATGGGCAATTTGGATTAAATATATTTAGCTATGCTTCTTGTATTTGTTTTTGAGTTCCAATCTTATCAGTTGATATGGTTTCAATGAGGTTTTTTCGAACGTTGCCCCTTTCACTCTTTTTTCTCATTTTATCTTTTTTTATTTCCATATATAGCAGTTACAAATATCATAACCAGAATTAGCAACATTAGCCCCTTTCACTCTTATATTTTTTATTCACTTTCAGGAGATCAAAATCCTATTTGAGAACAATGAGGAAAAGAAACTGCGTCTAAAACAGCGTGAGCAGAATCTTTCTCAGGATGTTGGCATGGAAGATATGTCCATCTTGAGCCAGAGGCTTGTTCTGCTCAATAAACAATGGGTTGAGATGTTCAGTGAGGTTTCCCTGAGGATTCATCGCATCAATGATCGCCTCAATGAATGGACACACTTCAATGAACGCTACAAGGAACTATGCGCCTCACTAGGCCAGATGGAGTCTAAAGTCTCATCCAATCAGGAACTTCACATTGAGACACTTTTGCGTATTCTCCAAGTGGAATACAAGCAAGAAATCAACCAATTGGAAACCAGTAAAAATGATCTCATCACCCAAGGTCAAAGCCTGAAAAAATGCAGTAGTGAAATCCGTGCTAATGACATTGAATACAAGATCACTAATCTCAATGATAAGTGGAGGAAGCTGCAGGAGTTACATCGCATGAGAGTCTGTAAGTTGCAGGAAACTCTCCAGGCTGTACAGCAGTTAGAGGTTAACATGGCTCAACTGCGTATCTGGCTGGCGGGTATAGAGCACAAACTGGGGAGCCCTGTGGAATACCAGTCTCCCAACTACACTGATATTCAGCAGCGTCTTCAGGAACAACAGGTCGGTGTAGTTCATTCAAAAAATTCATGATGTGATAAAGTTTCCTCTTTATTTGTTTTGCATTTGGCATATACTGTAATGTTAGATGTCATCTTCGGGCATCATATTCAGAACATTTTGACTTCATTTGCTTATTCTGAAAACATAATTATTCTGAAAGCATAATTTTGATTTTTGCGTCTCTAAAGTTTTATAAATATCTTGACTTAAATTTCTTACCCATTGTTTATTACCAGGAGCACCAGAATGATATAGAGAAGCATAGCACTGGCGTAGCTTCAGTGTTGAACTTGTGTGAAGTGTTACTCCATGACAAAGATGCCTGTGCGACAGAAGTTGAGGCCAGTGCAATACAACAAGCAATGAGCAGCCTGGACAAGAGGTGGAAGAACATATGTGCACTCTCCATGCAGAGACGACTGCAGTAAGTTCTCTCCAAGTCTGTTAAGTGAAGAATACTGTAAAACAAAAAATCTCAGTTTCCAAACCCATTAATTAATAGAATTCTAAGAGAATACAATTTGAAATCATGATGCCAAAACAAAACTCATACTGCAATAAACAATTATAAAATAAATGTTCCAGAATCCAAGAAACTTGGCGCCTGTGGCAGACATTTCATGATGACTACACCAAGTTTGAGGAATGGCTGTGTGAGGCGGAGAAGGATGCTAGAAATCCTAGGACTGCTTATGTCACATTTATAACAGTGAAAGATGAACTCAAGACATTTGAGGTAGATATTTTACTATTACACCACTTGTCTTGTATTTCATTGGCTATTGCTCTTTGGATCTGCGGAGGAATCTTGAATTGCTTAAAAGTGTTTGTCTGTAACTTTTGGTGAAGTGTAATGTGTAAGATTTTGAGTAAGATTTTTTAAAAAGTGAGTACACATATCAACAGTTTATATCATGTATGTTGTGTACATATCAACACAGTTTATATCATGTATGTTGTACATATCTTCAGGGACGACAAAGAAAACTGCATGAGAAGTTATCAAAATTGGAATTACTGAATAAACAATATAGAAATATGGCACGAGAGGGACGCACAGACACCAATGGAGAGTTACGTCAAAGCATTCAGGAGGCTAACAGATGCTGGGACGCTTTATCATTCAGATTAACTATCATAATGAAACGTCTTAAACACACAATTAGCATGAAAGATGACTGGGATACCACTCGGGAAACAACCATGTCTTTATTTTTGGACCTTAGTACACGTCTGTCAAACCTAGAAACTTTGGACCATACAACAAAATTACAAGAAATCAAAGCCATACAAACTGAAATTGACAAAAATCATAATCAGATTGTGTTTATTTACAAAGCAGGGGAGTACATGATGCAGAAATCTGAGCCTTTGGATGCAGTGAACATTCAGGCAGAATTAGATCACTTTCATATGTGCTTTGAGGAGTTGTTGTTGCGCGTGAAGACATTCCAACAACGTTTACTCCAGGAGTCAACTGCAATGTTAGCCACTCTCGAAGATGATTCTCTGACAGCAGACGCAGAAGCTGTGCTTAGAGAACTCATTGACTCTCCCTCTCCCCCAAGAACACCAAACAAACGGACACCAGACAGACGGACACCAGAAATTCTGGTGTCAAGATCACCAGAGAGGCCAAGAACTGCAGGTTCAAGGTCGCCGAAACGACCAATGAGCCGTAGTCCTAAAAAGACAAGATCACCCGAAAGATCCGAGTCTGGATATCACATTCCAGGAATGGAGAGAACTGAACCCTCAGGGGATGAGAGATCTCTTACACCAGAAGCAAGAAGGACTGAACCAACTGGAGCAGAAAGATCTATGACCCCAGGAGCTGAGAGGTCCCTGACTCCAGGTGGCATGAGTGGTAGGGGTAGGGCAAGTACAGGAGCTAGTGCAACAGATTCTCTTGATTGGGACATGTATGATATTGAGAGAACTGTTGATGTCCCTACTCCACCTGATGCAAAACAGGACACAACAGGTGAGTTTAACTTCCACTACTCTTTCTTATGATTGCTCTTGAAACTGGGGATTCTAGAACTCTTGGTCAATATTAGATTATGTACCAATTGCCTTTACATGTATAAACATGTATTCCGAATAAGGTCAATTGACATTTAATTTTTTATGGTTGCTGAAAAAGCAGAACAAAAAAATTGACTCTGGGCTTCTGGGCTATTGCAAAATGCCTGCGATTTATGAAAACAGTATACATGTACTTAAAAAACTGGCAAAACATCAAAATCAAGGAAATCTTTTCTACAATTGTGCACCGCTACCTGACCTGATATGATCAAGGATCATGGGGTAAACATATTTGAAATGATGTTGATGTTTTCAGACTTTGTTCTTGCAGACTTTACAAAAGTGAAGACAAAATCTAAATCCAAATCAAAGAAATCTAAGACATCCACAGTAACCACAACAGAGACTAGTACAACATCAAAAACTGCACGACGACAGCTTCTCAGTGAAAAGGTTCCTATACAGGAGAACAGAGAACAGTATGTGGAAGTCCAATTACAGGCATTCCAGGACTCTCTGGAGGATACAGACTCCAGACTGGCTGTCACAGAGCAACTGCTTAGGTGTAGCACACCTGTGGGACCCGAGGCTGAGTTGGCACAAGGAGATTATGTAAGTAATGGCGATCAAAACAAGTTACTATAGCGACTATATCTTGACCAGTCATAGAAAAGCAACTTTTGTTTCTCAATGCATGGATATTTTAACTACTGGTAATAGATAAGGTAACGATAAGTATAACTCAACGAAGGTTCATTTTGCGCAATCAAATAACTTCTGTTCAGAATCTATTGTAAACAAATATTTATATTCTCAAAGATAGACATGAATAATGAATTTAGTGAATTTTAAAAATCATTTCTAACTTGCCTCCAGGCCAAGCAGGTGACTGAGTGCCAAGACAGTATAGATCGGATGAAACTCGCCAGTGCCTGCCTCAAGCAAGAAGCTGGTTTATCAAGTCTCCAATCAGCCGACACTCACGTTGATGGCATCGTCCAACGCTGGGAGCTACTCCACACAAGGGCTGTTGCTAAGGATGATCGCCTGGCCAAGAACAAGCGGCAATGGTCTCAGTTTATGCATGACTTAGGCAAGATCTGTTTGTGGTTGGATGAGGCTGAGGCCATTCAGGGCACACAACATAGGATTCCCAGTGAGGTGAAGCAACTGGAGATCACCATTAAGAGACATAAGGTACGTTGGATGACTAATATGTATGGTTGATGTTGTTTCCATGGCGAGACTCGGGTTGACTTATCATTAGGTTTCTTGAAACTCAATAAAGCCCATGGACTTATCATTGGCAAATATACTGACATGCTCATAAGAGTATATCAGTAAGAACATTTCAAGAAATTGACCATTGTTTGAATAATTTTTTGGTGAAATT